CAATCGGCCACTTAAAACCCGAGGTTGAGAAGTCTTGAGCCCGAAGCCCTGCTAGTGCCCATGAATATACAGGGTGGTAAGAGCCCTCGGACTGACTGTAGGCTTCCACCAACCAGTGTCGAAGGTGGCGTGCCCTCTGACACATCCGTTTCGAAGTACTCCATCATCGAATGATGAGCATAAGTAGTGCGAGCACTGCCGTCTGTCGGGTGTCTTTGCTTGGTTGTTGGCCCTTGGCATGCAGGGTGTACTGACCCTCCCTGCGCTGCAGCTGTAACTTTGAACTTGAGTGCTGATCTTCGTGTCAAGACAACTTCCCGATTCAACTTGCTAGCTCAAAGGTCATGGTGATAGACGACCAACCGTTCTCTGGGGATCCCAAACCCAAGGTTGCTTGTCCAGCTACCGACAGTATGTCAGCCTAGCCTTGAGGGCTAAATCTTGCGCTTGTAATGTACCAGAGAAGGCTCTGTCAAGGGTTGTTTCACAACTACGAGTCGCAGACCAGTAGCAGCTCACGGGCGCCAGCAAGCAAGCAACATCCCCGGAGCCCCACAACTCGGACCCCACTACAAAGGGCCTGATTCCTGTAATCCTTTCAAAGGAAATTAAGAGGACCCTGACAGTGAGAAAACACGGCGGCTATACAATTAGAACCCTGGCTTTGTTCAATATGCGTCCATCCTGAAGTCCTGAAGGCTAACCTCAAGACCCGTGGTGTAACAGTGGTCCTCTTAATCTTCCCTAGATCCTTGAAATCTACTGTCTCAGGATCGCTTGGTCCAGGGATCTGCTCATCATCGCGCTCAGAACGCTTCCGAGCTTGATGGCATCTGCGGCTTGAACTGGGTCTACGGTCTAGGTATCGGAGCGAGTACTCTCGCTTTTTCCGAAACTCACAGCGGGGCCCGGGCTTCGGGTTCAAAATTCTCGAGTCTCAATGTTTGAGCTTGCAGTTTGAAGCTTCCAGCATTGAGAGCTATCAGAACCCCAAACCCTACACTTCGCAGAATTGGCAGTTGTTCTTGACTCACCACCGGAACTCGAGGGGGCCCCAAGAATGCAGTACGGAATTTGTGATTTAGGGTGCGGTTTCCAGGCCAACCACTGAGCTTTAAGGACTAGCATCGCACCATGCGGTCAACTCACAGGACCAAGCTCGAGACTGAAGAACTTAAGTCGATTCTTTAGACCAAAGTCCTTCCCCTCGAAGCCCGAAGCCGATAACGTGAACGAACACACACACACACATACGTGTATATATATATATATATATATATATATATATATACATACACACAAATGTACAGGTACACATACGCATACACATACACATAAGCATGTGAAACATACACTAGGCATGTTTAGGCCTCCATTTGTGTATCCATCTATTTATGCACTCCTGTATCCATTATTATAGAGCCTAACGAAACCTTGTAGCCCTCTGAGCTCGAGGAATCAACCCGTCAAGATAACGGAAAAGTTTATCAGGAACCCTACATATCAACCGCAGTCGGGTGATCCTTCTTGCAAAGACTCGAAACATGTACCCTGATTCACGGACACCCCAGATGTTTAGTAGGTGCGCCAAAAACCGGCTTACAAAAAAGAATCTTCCCCACCTTAAAGTTCACTGCAACATCCGTTTCTACCTCAGGCACAAATACCCCTGAGCCCAATCCCTCCATCTCAGCGAAACATGTCCCTCGTCGCTACGTTTCAGCACTGCGAGATTGGTTTGTGGGATCCGGTTCAAGCTTTAGTGGTTTGGGGGAAAGAAGAAGAAGTGTACAGTGTATACTCCAAGCCACTCCTGCACCTAAACGACTAACAACAGCAATTACTTTTTGGATCAATGTCGTATGCTTACACCAGCTTCGAGACTATGTCCTGAAGTCCTGATCCAATAACCCGAGAATGGCCTTAAATCGTCTGTTGCCGGAAAGGCAAGCCTCCCCGCTCCTCGCAGAAAGGGCGTCATCATGGCGTCATCGTTCGGTCTAAAATCTCCCGAAACTCCGAGAATCTTTCGGCTGGGATAGGAATATCAGCTGCTGCTGGCTTAGGGTGTCGACTTTCAATTTCAACTCGAAATCCTGCAGCATCCAGGCATCCAAAAGTCCAGTCCCAATGTTTGAAATCTTGTATGTATTTGCTCTCAAGCGTTTCCAGATCTCGACTTTTGCCCGTTGACCGCCATAAAGATTCTAGCAACTCATGCACTGCATCCTTCATATTTATGCCCTTCATATTTATGTAGTCCGGGTGCCTCTGATGAAGTATTTACGGATGCGTATTGCGAGCTGTGGGCGTTTAACATTTAAGTCTCTAAGGCTAGTTCCTGGTGCATAAACACTCAGAGCTGGACTGCTGTGGGGAACTCCTTGTAATGCCAGGCTAGCACCCTTGTTATTTATTCGGCCTTGGTCATAGGCTGGCATAAAGTAGGACACTCAAATATTGGAAAACTCAGTTTCGACAATCCGACACATGGCAGTTGCACGCAGACCCATAGCACCCGACCCAAAACCGGTTTACTTTTCGACAGTCCCTCAAATCCTCAGGTTCCAGTGACATTGATCTAGGCAACAGGATTCCCACAAGCCCAATGAATACTGTGAACACCATGAACGTCCCCAGGGCCCCAGAGCCAATATGTCTGACTTCCGAAAGCACTGCTCGCTTGAGGCTGATGGTCGTCCGAGGGATAGAGGGACAGACCCACAGGAGCTCAAGACTTGGATCCTTGAGCTTTGGGTACATCACTGCTGTACTTGGGGGACCATAGCAAAGGATGCTGATTGTTGAGGCACCTATGAGTGTATCGGAACCATGGAAGACCCAGGCTGCGGGCTTTAGGCCGTATCCTTCAGGCTCTCACCGGCTCTCAGATCTTCGCGAATCCCCAACAGGATGCCGAGAATGTCCTCCACTTCCTTTGCCATCTGGTCTAGCACAGAAAGCAAGACCGGGCTCACGTTCAATCCGAAGGTGACCTGCATTGCAGAGTGGGCACCCCAAGACCCTCATCCCAAACCCCTGTCCCCGAACCCTCAGGTGAGGATGTGCAGGATATTCAGGCTTGCATGGTTTAGGGCTGATGGGTTCGGAGTGCAGAGCTTGCAGCCTTCTAGGTTGAGTTCAGTGTAGGATCAAGGCTTCACGCGTGGAAGCTATGAGGGCCAATGATATCGGAGGCCTTGAGGCTCGTGGGAACCGGTCGACCCTCTATATAATACTTGCTGCCAGCCCAAGCACTTTGGTTGTCGAAACACTCTGGACCACTCATTGTCCCGAGTCTTCCTGGGCGCTAGCCGCCCGTGGCCCTCCTACATGATCCCCTCTCGAGTCTCAGGACCAAAATCCGTGCTCAGCCTGAAACCTGCACCTGGTGACACGGTAAATCCACGTTGGACATCACTTGGTTCTCCGCTGGGGGCTGCAGGGCCAAGGGCTTCGTGTCTCAAATACGAGCGCGGTACGCTCAACTATCACCCTGAGGAGGAAGTCCCAGTACAACAAGCTTGTAGAAAAGGAAGTCCCAGTAGAACAAGCTTGTAGAAAATTGCGCCTCAGGCGTGCTCTTGTCCAGCACCTTCACACCTTCGTCCTGGAACGGCGTGATGGCTAAAAATTACCGTTTTAACACATGACCCACCGAAGATGCGGAGCTTGTGTTAACTCAGCATAACTCGCATAGGGCCCAAAAAAAGCACATAAGCAAAACTTAGGATAGGGATATGCCATATAAACTCCCGTAAACTCAAAATGCAGCCGAATGAGGTAGGGATATCCCTATCAAATGCTTATGCTTATATCTTCTGGAAAGACTGGATTTTAGAGCTTGCCTCGAGCCATATAAACATTGCAATCCCAGACCCTAAGTTCGATTCCAAATCAAGAGCAAAGAGATCTCAAAACCCAAGCGCCATGAAGCCCGACATGCTTGAGCCCTCAACTCATGGCCCTCCGAGGCAACAACACCAAAAACACTGAAACCAGAGCCTTCGCCTGCACAGGCATGACAGTCTTGTCTTTTGGAGATCCAAACCTGCTCCAGAAGTTAGGAATCTAAGAGTTTGGGGTTCAACAGTTTCTGTCTCAAGGTTTCAGCTTGCGCGGTTTCTCCCGCAGGAGCTTCGATGCTGTGGTCGCTTCGGGAGTGTAGGGGCTTCGCCCTGCCCGGTTGAGGCTAAGGGTGGCTCTGGACAACTTCCGGGCCCTTTGTTTGAATGCTTGAAGTGTGGAGCTTGTGTGCGCATGGGGTGCCTTCACATCAGGCTTAGATGATATGAGGTTAGGGAGTATGAGGCCTCATGATCTTCATGTAGTCGTTGAGTAAGTCTTTGATAGGGACCTTGGGATTGAAACTCTTGCCGTGGACTCTCAGATGTAGATACGCTTTCTCAATGCCGTCGAGCTCTGGCAGCTGGCTTGAGAGTCCTGGTGTTAGAGCGTCAAGTCTCTTAGCTTTTTGGTTCTTCCTGGGGTTTAGGGTCGAAGACTGTGCGCTTTTCCTGTTGGCTTTGGGTTCTTCCGTCTGACCTTGCGACTGTGAACGCGAGCACCCGCGTTTCCGGACAACTTGGTGCTGTGAATGTCCTCTACCAGCATGGGTGTTGGGCTCTGAGTTTCCGACTTGAAACATTTGCTTTTGTACTGTAGTGCTTCAGCTCTACTTTGCGGCATGCATGTGTAAGGCTCATAGTGTTCTGTGCCAAGTCTAGCGCGTTTAGCGGAGGTCGGTGGTGAGAGTGGAGAAGAATCCCGTCTTTTGTCTTCGCCCGCAAATGACATGGATGCAGAACTCACCCGTGAATACGGAACTCTCACTATCATTTCCAGAACACTGACCTGGGGAGAGAAGCTTCATGTTGCAATGGACCCCCGACAAAATGCAGCTTCAAGCCTCCAAATACCACACCTCAACAGCATCGAAGCCAACAAACTCAGATGATTCGATGCCCGGGATTAAGGCTGCTGGACTTGCCTTAACTTGCCTAAAACCAGCCAACTCCGCACCTCTCGAACCCAGGGACTGCTACGTATCCTCCCGTCTTTGGTGCATCGAAGACTTCGTCCAAAGAGAACCTTGGATGTTCGATCGGGATCTACTTTACGAGTATCACTAGTGCCAGTACTATTGCTAGCACTAGCACTGTTATTGCTGCCGCTTCTACTGCTGCTGCTGCTACTACTGCTTTCTACTGCTACAGCTGCTACTGCTACTGCTACAGCTACTGCTACTGACTGCTCGCAACACGGCTGCTGGTACGGCCACGGCTACCGCTGCTGCTCCTGTTGCTGTTACTGCTAGTGCTGCTACTTCTGTTGCTGCTGCTGCTGCTCCCGCTGCTACTGCTTCTGCTACTACTGCGACTGCCGCTACGACGACGACTCTACAATGTCACGCCCATAATCTTTATGTGTGCTCGTCAACGCTTTCATTGAAACCGCTGTGCATTTTCGAGCTGGATTGGATCTTCTGGGCTTGGAAGGAAATGATTCTCAGTGTGCCACCATCCCCTCCGACTGCCAAAGCGTCACCGGCTGGATTCCAGGCAGCACTTGTGACTACCTCGTTCCCACGGGACACGGATTCGGCTGTGGAGGCGGTGGTGCTGACGATACGGACTTTTCCGTCGACAGCACCGGTGGCGACGACGTGGGTGAAGTCAGGGTGAAACATGCAGGCCCAAATTCGGTCCTCGTGCTCAACGGCGCACTCCGCACAGCCTCGAAGGCATCTCTGAGCAAAGATCTAATAATCTAATAACTACGTTCAGGACTACCCGATATGAACACAGACTCAAGCAGAATGTCGCTGATTGCTGCATGAAAGTCCGGGCTACGGGGACACTCTGCTCGGTCGAGCCCAGGGGCTGCAACTCTCGTTTGCAAACCTAAACACTACAACTATTCAATGGGAGCGAGTCCCAGATCCAAAGTCTAAAACACAGCGAAAGCCTTATAAGCGGAAGATCTGAAGAACCTGGTAGGGGGCACCGTGCATTCAGGAGTCGCAGCGTGCAGCGGTTGGGCTGGTGTCAAGAGTTTCGGACTTGGAAGTTATAAGTTATAAGGGCTTGTGCGGTTTCCAGCTTTTACCGGTTCCTTCCTTCTGCTGCAGTGTCTTCGGACATGTTGGCCTTGGCTGAAGGTTGTAGGATTCCCGAACCATGGCTGCAGTAACTTGTATCGAATACAAGCCTTTCTTCTTGATATCTCTGTGAGTAGTTAGTAGGGTCATCATGTCATCGCTGTTGTTCGCAGTGGATACGAAAGAGGCCAATATATCTAAAATCTAAAGTGGTGGCAGGCCACCACGTGTTTGAGGCTGATGGAGTTTTTGGAGGCTCTCAACACTTGCCCCGCGTTTGCACAGACCTGCCCAGCTGTGCCCCCTCAGCAGGGTCTTCGTCGCTGATGCCGAACGAGATCAGATTCTCCGTTACGTTCTGACGAAACCCTCAACCAGGCAGGATCAATTCGGAAGCGGTGTGCCTCCACGTAGGACGTGCAGTTTCCGATCATCACATCCGACAGCAAGTCGCTCCTGGGCCCACTGATCTTTGTTTTGGTCTCTTGCAGTCTCACTATCAACATCAAACCCAACACGAACTGAATCCTAAGATTCCTTTAATGCTCAAGCACATCCGAGCTGAGCTACACCCCCGGAGCGCACCGTCATCTTTAACTAAACCAAAGCCACCCCCCCAAATCCAGCAACCCGGGTAAGCCCGGATTGGGTTTGGGGTTTAGGGTCTAAAGAGATTCAGCATCTTGGGCCTCGAAACGTTACACACCGAGGTACATAATAGATCAGCCCAATGGCTTCCGAAATGCCACTAAGAACCAGTAACAACTCGATTGGCTCAATGATGCTGGCGCTGGTACAGGCGGAAATTACAAAAAGCGGGACATCGGTTTCCAGTCTTCGATCGTTGGTGGTACATCGGCAAGTCGGCCATCGGTCGTAGCTTCCGAAACCAGTGTCAGGGATCCACTCAATGATCAACAGCAGCAAGTTTACGACCCTCATGCTTTCAACTCTTTCAGCTCACTCGGGTTTACACCCGCAGCCCTCGCCCCTGAGTGGACAACAGTTTAGATTAATTCGGGCCAAAAAGCAAAACCGAAAGACAGCCACATCTGAAGAAACCCGAAAAAGCACGACAATGCGAACTTTAATAATTAGAATGGCTTCGGGCTCACTTTTGCTGTCAATATACATATAATCAGGAACCCGCCAAAAATAGTATAGGTGATTATTAAGGCCCCTATATTAGCCTGGGCCGAAGAGTCCCCACAGCTGCTCCAAGCCAGAGACGTCAGCCAGTTCGTCATTTCTAAGGTCCTCATCAATCCAAGGGTGAGGGCCCAGGATGTACAGTTTTGAGAGCCTAGCTCCAAACGACAGAGTTGAGCTTAGGTAGCTTTGGTAGCTAGTAGCTGCACTAAACCCTCAACGCACAAAGCAGGAAACCTAAACTGAGCCGTAGTCGCCTTCTCCATGGGCCGGACTCCAGAGGTTTAGGGTTTACGGCTTGGCGTGGGGCGTGAATTCTTGCAGCCTTTTCCAAAGGCCCCGAGGGCCATTGCGGAAGTATCCTGCCACCATCAGATTGTAACAAGTCGTCATAGCACGAGTCTAGAGGATGAGCATTTTGCAATGATGTTCACCTGCCATGACAAGTCACGACATTCATGCGCCCCCTTCTTCCTGGTGGTTTTTTGTCTTGAGATCGCAAAAGAAAACATGCTTCTGAAGCATGGGTCTCTGTCTCCTTGACTAGTAACCAGTATACCCTGGCAACGCAGACCCTCAAATCTAAAGCCTTACTGCCTTGACTTGTATGGATCTTCAATCTAGAACAACCAGCATGGCCAGGTCACAGCTCAATCGTCATGGTGTCGGTTGCCAACACACCTCAGTCAAGTGGCTTGATCATCTACCAACCCTTGGGATGTTCAGCTGTTTGGCATATTGAGTCCGAAAGCCCAAACGCTGAACCCAGAAGCGGAATACTCCGAGTGTCGGATGTAGGCATCGAATTCTCGGGTTCACTCCACCCTCGTGCGCAGATGAATAGTTTTCTCCCGTTACCTGAAAACAAAGAACGAGAATCCGATAGGGCACTGGTCGTTGCAGCAGTTTGGGGGTGTGTCGCCTCCCGCATGATGAACAGTCGTGATGCTCTTTCGGTTTTTTGGCGGGTGCTACTGACAAGTCCTACTGCTACTACCACGACTGCCTTCACTGCCACTGCCGACTGCCGGAATTGCTGCTGCCACTGCGATAGCGGGCGTAGTTGATTGGCTGGTGGTAGTGCCAGGGACAGGGAAGCCATGCTTACACGAACTCAGATCATGAGACTTGGAACTTCCCCGCAATCAAGACTTATGGATGGAACACAAGAGCTGCACAACCACCTATTGCCACCAAATTTTTTCTGGGCCGTGCTTTCAGCAGGCACGAAAGAATGCAAGACCAGGTTTCTGCACTATCCAACAAGGGATGTTGAACAATCCTGCATTGTATGTAAACTTATAACTATATGTGTTTGTGTATGTACGTACGTATGTAGACATCGTTGACGAGCTTTCTGCCGCTGCGAGCAGCAAATCGTTTCACTCGCTCCTTAAGCAAGGGTGTGCACCTGTGAAGGTTCACGTGGAACCCTTCGCGTTGTAGCCTCACGCTGATGCGGGGAATGCTATGGGTGACCGTCCCTGCGGTGCGCCTTGTAGTAGTGGGGCTGCGACTAGCAACACTTGTTCCTACGCAGTGCAGAAGTGCTGCTTGCTCAGTGCGGATGCAACTCATCTGACAACTGCTGAAGAAGAAGCCTGTCTGCATCCATGCATGCGCGCATGCCTGCATGGACGGATGGATAGCCGGATGGATGGACCGATGGACAGGTGGATGGAAGGACGGACACGGATGTATATATGTGTGCAGTTAAATACGTATGTATGCACGTACGTATGTACGTATGCATGTATGCAGCGGTATTTGTATGTATGTATGTATGTATATGCACATATACATATGTATATATATATATATATATACATAATGTGTACATTCACGGCTTGTGGGTTCTTTTGAGCCTGCATGTTAAACCTGAAGGCTTACAGGTCGCCGAGACGCATAACTTCCCGTCGGAGCCACCGAGTGCCATCTTTGGACGCTCAGGGTTCCAAGCCAGGCATAAAACCTGAGGCCAGGGGTACGAGAGAGTTTTGGGCTTGAGTGCGTAAGTTGCTGAGTGGGAGGAGGGTTTTAGAATACTTAATAGTCGGGGACTTCATGGGACGTCGGCCGGTTGTATTTCACAAGCTTTGCTCTTCGAGGCTGGCTGATTATTGGGTCCTGCTTTATGACTTGCTGTTGTCTTTTGAAACTTACCCTTTTTGGAGTCGTGATTTCGGTGATCGTTGGCTTTGGCGTTCAGGTTGTAGAGAATTGGGGTTTTCCCGGTGGGTTCGGGAAGAAAACGCCTGGTTTTTACTTGGGCTTAGGCCTTGAAAGGCCTTGCTTGAAGGGGGATGCGCCTCCTGGCCATTCACAGCGACATGAACTTCAGTTCAAGCCAAGCTCACGGGGTGTAGCAGAAACCACGGAGCGGTTACGCGGTTTCGCCCATGGCGCAAGTAATCAAGTAAGCAGTTATTAGCGTCCAGTGTGTATATTGCTAATGAACCATCGCAACCAGAGTTATCGAGTTTGGATCTTGTCAGCCGACTTGGCAGAAGTCGGCTGTCGAGCTTCAGGCATTGGGAGGATCACTGAGAGGATGGGAAGCCCCAGCTCACAGACCTGAGCCCTGCATCGGTCGGAACACCTGCAGCCCAAAGCTGCGACTGCCCCAAGGAACTTCAAGGAAGTCCGACAACTGCCGCCCTCTGCCCCAAGAGATTCCGTAGCCCTCAGTCCCAAGAACCTCGACTCGTCATTCAAAGGTCCTTTGCTCCCCAAATGAATGCAGCAAGTTTGCAGGACAGCTGTGCGCGAAAGTCTCCCTGACCGCCCGCGCGGTCACCTTGGACAGTCGGTAGTTTCAGGACATAAGGGACCGCTCAAAGGATATTGCCATGGACCCGAGACAGGTGGATTCCAAATCTCCACTTGAGTGTTGTTAAGAAATCCGCTTGCACGGACATGTCGGGCCTCGGTGAGATCCTGGTGGTTCGTGAACTGGTGCACGGCAATTATGGGGCTTCATTACCATGTGATTTGAGATACCTTCGTTGTGCGTCCTGAGAAAACAACAGGATCCTGTTATATTCGGTCTATTGGTGTAGGTTTCAAACTTTGAAACTCGAGCCCTAAACTCTCAACGCCTGGACCGGAACCTTGAAAGCCCACCCAGATATTCTAAACCCTAAGCACGTAAACCCTAAACTCTAAACTAAACTCCGAAGCCATATACCGTTACATACGACACCTCATAGCCTCTCACAGAAGAGCTCCTTAGCTCCTTGCCTCGGAGGACCACGAGGGGAAACAGTTGTACCAAGAAGCGCTGAAAATCCGCACTTTCCCATCTTTGGAGCCCGTGGCAACTTCTGCCTGTAACAGCAAGCACAAGATTGGGTATCGGACAGCACCTTCTTCAGTTTAGGGCTTGATACTTCGGGCATTTCGACTATGGGGCTACATGGTTTGCACTTACCTCAACGGCTTGCAAGATTAGGATAAAACGTAAGGTGTCCTTCGTAGTTCGAAAAGCTTGGGGGCATGCATGCTTCGCAGGTGGCCGTACGTTGGAAGAGATTTCTACTCCTTCAGGCACGAAGCTTGAAGATGAACCGGAATTCTCAACTCCTCGGAATCTCCCCATGTTGACAAACACACACACACACACACACACACACACACACACACACACACACACACACACACACACACACACACACACACACACACACACACACACACACACACACACACACACACACACACACACACACACACACACACACGCACAAAACATACCGAGACTTCGACCTCGTCTGGACTCCAAGCCACCACTTGTGCGGTCCAAGGATGCTCCAAGGTTGCCTCGGGCTCCAGGTTTGGATGGAGTGGTAGTGGTTGCGGTAGAGGGTGGTGGCGGTGGTAGTGGTGGTAGTAGTAGTAGCAGTAGCAGTAGCAGTAGTAGTAGTAGTAGTAGTACTAGTAGTCGTAGTAGTAGTAGTAGTAGTAGTAGTAGTAGTAGTAGTAGTAGTAGTAGTAGTAGTAGTAGTAGTAGTAGTAGTAGTAGTAGTAGTAGTAGTAGTAGTAGTAGTAGTAGTAGTAGTAGTAGTAGTAGTAGTAGTAGTAGTAGTAGTAGTAGTAGTAGTAGTAGTAGTAGTAGTAGTAGTAGTAGTAGTAGTAGTAGTAGTAGCAGTAGTAGTAGTAGTAGCAGTAGTAATAGTAGTAGTAGTGGTAGTAATAGTTGTTGTTGTAGTAGCAGTAGGAGTAGGAGGAGTAGTAGTAGTCGTCGTCGTAGTCGAAGTCATAGTCGCAGTCGTAGTAGTACTAGTAGTAGTAGTAGTAGTAGTAGTAGTAGTAGTAGTAGTAGTAGTAGTAGTAGTAGTAGTAGTAGTACTAGTAGTATAGCAGTAGCAGTAGCAGTAGCAGTAGCAGTAGCGGCAGTGGCCGTGGCCGTAGCAGTAGCAGTAGTAGTAGGAGTAGGAGTAGGAGTAGGAGTAGGAGTAGTAGTAGTAGTAGTAGTAGTAGTAGTAGTAGTAGTAGTAGTAGTAGTAGTAGTAGTCGTAGTAGTAGTAGAAGCAGTACAGTAACTGTTGCAGTTATCGTCGTCGTCGTTGTAGTCGTTGGTTGCAGAAGTTGTATTTAGCTGTAGTTGTGGTTGTAGTTGTAGTTGTGGTTGTGCTGGTTGTGGCTGTGGCTGTGGTTGTGGGTGTGGTTGAGTTGTTGCTGTCGTTGCTGTTCGGTGGTGGTTGGGCATGTCATCGTCGTCATAGTCCGTCGTCGTCGTCTTCGTCGTTCGCCAGTTAGCCACTATCGCACTGTACACAGGACACTCGAAGTCGCCAAGACCATTTTCCCCACAACCTCACTGAAAGCGCAGTCGACCAGGAAAGCCATATCGAGGCAACACTTTTCCCAGCTTTTCAGAAATGTCCAAAGGCTTTGGGCTTGCGAAATTTGTCAGGCGACTGCAAATGGGCAAAACCATCCGAAGCAGAATCAGGAACCGGAGGGACTAGTAGTGCTTCCTCTGGTAAACAGCCACGCACCCAGCAATTCCCCAAACGATCCAGAAACCGTGCCATGCACTCACCCCAAGCTAAACTTCCAACCTCAGAAGTTGGCAGGTCACCTGCACCTGCCTACGGTACAGATCGTTTATGCCTTAGTCGAAAGTGCCTCGTTGAGGTCTTCTTGTGGCCCTGCGAGAAGGAGCCTGTCGGCCGTAGGATTTGGGGCTTTTTGGGCTGGAGGGTTTGGGGGCAACCACAAATCTTTAACTACCCCAAAGCTTGACATCGCTATGTTCGAGGCTATTTCGGTATTTTCCAGTTGCTCAAGGGTTTCCAAGTTTTGAAGCGTTGAGACTAGTGAGATGAAAGGCATAGAGGCTTGCGGGTTAGCAGGGGCTTATAGCTTTGGGATTCTTTGTCTGAATATGCTGAGGCTTAAGAGTGCGATGCTGACTCGATGGTACCTATATACAAATCAGAGTCATGATTCTACCCAACGCCATGAAGTGTGCAGAAGGTTCTCATCCCAAACACTACAAGGTCTCAATCCGACTATGGCTACACCCAAAGAGCCTTGGTTAGATGCAGTGATTGCAGGCTGTGAAGATGTGAGAGCTGAAATTGTAGATTGTGGAGATCAACATGTCACTGAACTTACATAAAACCAATCAAGGCCCTACATCCTGGGAAGCCCCCAACCCGTCCCAGATCCCGAGACCTGAGCAAGCAGAGCACCAAAAGCTGGAGACGCTGGGAACCCATGAACAATGAACCCTTCAGCCATGAAGTTCTGCGCCGTTCTATACCCTGAGCTTCTAAGCTCCAAGAAGCTGTGAGCTACAAAGGGTGCCCCCCCCGCACAGGGAAGGCCTTCGGCTCTTGAGCCAAAGCGCCACGGAGCCAGAGGGGCCGAAAGCGGCGCACTCTGCACTGTGCCTCTGCTCGGCTTTCGCAGTCCGGAGCTTCAGGGTCTAGGGCACCAGTCAGGACCCGCGGAGCGCGGCATGGATTCTACTAGATTCTACTATGGTTTCAGGGGCATCGCGAGACCGAGAGAGAACAATAGAGAGAGAGAGAGAGAGGGTTGATCGGAGCCGCCCCCCCAAGTAAAAATAATGATTGCCATCAGCCGTTCATGGCCAGGTAAAGCAGCGTGGGAGGTATTTCAACGTGTGTTTTTTGTTTACAAAGCCCGTGAAGGAATCGCAAATCTGAACAACTCCAATCAATGTGCTGGAGAAACACCCCAATTACACCCTGAAGCAATGCACGCAAAAGAAAGGCAAACCGAAAAGAAAGGCAAACCGTCAACCTCCCAACCGACCTAGAAGCCTTACTTTCACCAGAGAAGGCGAAGCGAGGAGCTGAAGGGCTGTTCGCTGCGTCTGCTGACCGTCGATTCGAATCACATGCCCGGCCGTGGCAAGACCTCGTTTTGGGGCTCCGCTTTGGGGATGAACGACAAGAGCTTAGGCTTTGCAAGGATTGTGGTGCCAGATAGAAGCGAAGGCCAAGTAATCGGAATCAACGTTCTGGGTTGTGCTATTTGCTCGGTATAAGGATGGTATATCGAATAGTCTAAAGCCCATGCTTGCAACCGCGCGTCACAGCTGCCCAGATAGCCAGGAAACACAAAGCAGCGGGCCGCCATGTTGGGAAACCTCCCAAAGATTAGGCGCGCTTGGCATATGTGTGCACATGTTGGTATACTCTTATATGGATCCCACATTGCGGATCGTGATAGATGATAGTGTCTCTTTGAAAGGATTGGTACGCGATGCAGTACTTCTGATTCCGGGCATTCTGTCAGGGATAACGGCCCCACAGATACGACGAGAATGTGTGGAAGGATTGCAGGTTCATGAGGATGGCGATGATCCTGACCAATGACACCATGTCTTCTTACATGTAGCTTGTCCTCGAACTTAAGATGTGGTGTGTCCATGTAGTCCGCCTTGACATCTGCCGGCACGAAGCGAGGTCCGGAGGCACGGGGCGTCTGTCGAGGGGTCTGCGAGCTTTGGCTGCCCGTGGTCTTCCTGAGTGCTTTTGTGCTTTCATTTTCTGGTGCTTTTTGTGGCGGGGGATTAGACCGCTTAGAGCTTGACGGAATTGGTTTCTCGTAGAGGCGGCAATGTTTAGACTTACTCCGGCACAGAGCCTGCAAACGTCTTGCGGAGAGTCCTTTGGAGCCTTTGTACGGCTTGAACATCTCAGCAACTTATCGGTGAAGTGTAGTCAAAAGCACTTATTACGAAGGCAAGTATCGATTAAGCCCATGTGGCTGTTGGATTACCCAGGCTTAGGTGGCTTTTGGTACTCAAGCCCTGAAGCCAAAGCCCGTAAGGTCGAGCACGCAGAGGCCGTGTGACTTGAGACCAATACTTGTCGGGTTAAGGTTCGGGTTAAGAGATTGTAGAAATCATATACTGTCGGTCTCCAGTTGCGCAATCGGGCATTCTGCATAAGTTGTTAAAACCCCACACACGAACCCATGCACACAAGCCAACAGACAAAACCCCTCAGGTCCTACACACGACAATGCCGCTCTCTCTCCCTCGACATGAGAGCTTAGGGATTGTGGATTGAATGATATATTCTGGGCTTGGGGCAAGAGAATGCACCAGGACAGCTGCAATCCGAAGCCTTCGTGACGTAGTGCTTCCAGAGTGGCATCCGTGCCGGGCTGCGAATCAGCTTGTTTGCGGTGATCCGTTTGTAGGTCCTGAGCTTACGGTAAGAAAACCTCACGAATTGCAGCAACATGCACGGCGGAATGATCTCCAATGTTCGGGCTTGACCAACTTCTGCTTGGAACCATCGCCCCGTCACGGAGGAACGCGGCGATGCGACTTTAGCAACTCTGTGCTTTTGAGCGTGGCAGCAGTATTCTTAAAATTGAATACGGTCGACAGGGAACCGTGGAACATATCTGAGTCTCCGCGTTTTTGGCTCCTAGGGCTTCAAGGCTAACGGGGTGAAGGGTCAGTGTCGATGGCACTCGGTTCTGCAGAGAATGCGCCTAGTAGGGCTCCGAATGCAGCGATGACGGCCAGGCTGGACGCTCAGGGTTTTAAAGATGAGCCACTTACACACAGGTCCCGTCACGGGCTTGAGCTTTCGAATCAAGCCTAGGCTTGATACAAATTACTTCTTTGTGCAGGGCCCCGCTACAAACCCGAAGGCGACATGATGCTGGATTCACAGGGAGTTTTTGGGTAGGAGTTTGTTGATGTGGCTCAGTGGCTCGATCGCAAAATGACTGAAACTTCCAACATGAAGACAACATTTCTTGTCAATTCGAGAGAAGATTGGTGTATCGAGACGTAAGGCTAAGGCACCCCCCAGAAACTTGACCAAGCGTCACCACAAAGCGTGGGTACGTCTGGTTCGCACGATACCTGAGCTAAGCCCCTGCAACATCTGCAGGCATGCTGTCACGAATGTCCAGAACACACCAGCACGAATGTAGCATCACGGTCACACTCTCGTGGTGGGCAAGGATTGTTGGCCAGGCCCAAAAACACGGTAAAGTACTTGGGCGGAATCAAAAGTGCGTCCAGGTACATGACGAAGAGACGCGATTCATTCGGCCCTCGCCCGCTCTTTGTCGGGGTGTGCGGGCCACCGACGACGCTGTCGTAGCCTTAGACGATGCTGCAAGCTTCAATTCGGGAGCTTGGGTGCCATCTTCATGCACAACAGAGGAACATGCCGGGAAGACGAGTCTGTCTCAGGCCGTACATGGGTCTGGATCGTAACCCCCAACACCTTTAGGCCACATGCGTTACACACCAAAAGAGGCTTCAGGGTTTGGCCTGTCAGGCTGGGGCCTATGATCCATTTCCGGGAGAGCTAGACAGGGGGCATTGCTAGTGCTGGTGCTGATGCCTGTGTGTGCGTGTGTGCGTGTGTGCGTGTGTGTGTGTGTGTACGTGTGTGTGTGTACGTGTGTGCCTGTGCGAGTGTGTGCAGATGTACATACATAAAAAATATATGTATGTATGTATGTGTGTATGTATGTGTGCATATCTATAGATAGAAAAATACGGCGGGAGAGCCTTCGGGCATGGTCGAGATTTTGCAGTACTCTAGGCGGCACTATATGCATGTAATCGCATGCTTGCATGCATGCACACATACACATATTAGTATAGAAATGCGAGAAAACAAATATGCGGCACTATCCACACAAGCCCTGTAAGTCTAGTCGAAGCTCCAAACGCTAAATATGCGTATTCAACTTTTAAACTACATTTTGCAGAAACATGACCTTGAAGCCTCAAATCATAGGGTGTCGCCAAGCTGCCATTAGACCGTAGCCAAGCACGATTACAACGGGCTCCGCTGCGGTCCAGCCTTCGAAAACGGCTTCGGATGAGGCGGGGGAGCTTGTGATTTTTCGGATTTGCGGCTCCATTTGTACGACCTGAGAATTTCTCGGACGTTTCTTATCGGGTGGGGCGAGGCGGGGATGGGTTGTCCATGCCTCAGCAGGCAACTACGCCCGGAAGCTGTCCCGACGGCACCAATCACATAATGAAGCAGGATTGATGACTTCTTTACGAGACTAACTAATTTCTCATGAATGTTACCTAAGATGCTTCCTGCAGTTCAGATACGAGGCCTACAGTCGCAGCATGTATCTGATGCTTTAGGTTGCCGGACGTGATCGCAGCATTCAGGCACTGTGAATTCGGTTTCGCTTGCGGCTCCAATGCTTCGCGGTTGTAGGGTGCATTGCATATTCGAAACACAGAGCTGCCTGCTCCGGTTCTATGATAAAGGTTCAGGGTGCGCGGGATAAAGGTACCAGGCTCAGCAAAGCTTCAGGGATTAGCCTCTGCCTGCCCACTGCTGTGCTGGTGGAGATGGGTATTCAACCAATGCTTGCGCAATGCAATTCCACGCGCACGCATCTCCTGCCGACAAGCTACCCCCGAAAGCATTCTGCTAAAACCTGATGGCAATCTAACGGAAGAAATTGCTGGAGCTGACAGCCAAGGTCCGTGCTGTTCTCCCATATCGTAGGCCTGAAACTCGAGAATGGGGCTGAGGGTCTGATTCTTGTTCACTGCTGTTGAGTCTATAACGTAGAGGTTGTACTGTGAAAGACAAGTTGAGAAGCTAATCCCTCTGCTATTGCTGCTGCTGCTGCTCCTCCTCCTCCCCTTCCTTCACCTCCTCCACCTCCTACTACTACTACCACTACCACTACCACTACTACTACTACTACTACTACTACTACTACTACTACTACTACTACTACTACTACTACTACTACTACTACTACCACTACGTTACTGCCATCGCCGCTACTACCACCACTCCGGCTCGCACTGCTGCTGTTACTACTAATTACCATAACCACTACCACGACCACTACCAATACCACTCCACTACCACTGCGGCTACTACTACTGCTACTGCTACTACTACTACTACTACTACTACCACTACTGCAACCACTACCACTAAGCCCATCACTGCTACCACCACCACTACTACTACTTCTTCTTCTACTACTTACGCCACTGCTTCTGCTTCTGCTTCTGCTTCTGCTACTGCTACTGCTACTACTACTACTACTACTACTACTACTACTACTACTACTACTACTACTACTACTACTACTACTACTTCGGGTTTACAACCGGTAGGCGGGCGCACCAACTTCTACAGTACAAGGCGTGAGACGTTGAAAAAGCAGTGCTATGTGTACAGTACGTCCCGGACTGCCTCGATCGCGACAGGGTTACGCACACGAGCGCACGCGAGCTTAGCAGTCCAAGATCGGAAGCACGTTGCTGCACTTGGAAATCAGATTATGATGGTATGTCGTCATAATTAAACTACTTCCTAGGTGAAGGCTTTGCAAGGAAGGGCTCTTGCTGTGCTTGGAGTTGCGAGGCCCCCGCGGCATGCGCAAACTTTTCGGATGTGGGCAGGGTGCGGGGGAATGAGGGTTTCGATTCAGATGTGTTTCCGAAGCCCTACACCGCGCGCTAGGCAATCTGAAATCAAAGCGGAAGCCTTAGCGATGTTAAAGTTGTTCAGCATTCTGCTCATCTTCGCAGATCACTACCGGGACAAACTGCCAGTTGTTAAGATTCGTGCTCTTAGCTGAATCGGTGCCCTGTACAGCCTGTTAAGGTTTGCCTTGTGCCTCCACATGGCACCAGAAGTGTATGTATATGTATATGTACATGCAACTGCAGATGTATATGTAGATGTTCATGTATGCGTGTGTATATATGCACACATATACATACATACATAGAGATGCATATGTCTGGAAACACACACATGTATAATCATATATATATATATATACACACAGAGAAAGAGAGATGGAGAGAGACACACGCACAAATATATCCCGTGCATGTATGTATGTATGTGTATATATATATATATGTAAATATGTATGTATGTGTGTATAGATATATATATATATATGTATAATATGTACATATTTGCTTCTGCAGAGCAAGCTACAGATAATTGCACATGCATGCAACTGTTTATGCAGGCACACACACAAAGAGACACAGATTGGACATGAATTAGCTAGTGTATATGCATTATATTTATATATATATATATATATATATATATATACATACACACAGATACATTTAAGTATACACACGCATGCAAGTCTATACTGTCTATACAGACACAAAGAGGTACACACACATATATATATATATATGTCTATAAACGTACACATTTACCTTACAGTAGATTACATTTTATTACCTTAACTTACCCGTTACCGTACCTTACGTGACATGACATTATACCACATACACACAGAGTACATACATTACATACAGTACATTCCTACGGTCGTGCGCACCTGCATAGATACTTACCTGGTTACATACATAATATGCGGCACTTCTCCCATATTGCAGTCTCAAACCGTATGGCTCAGAACCCTGAGCTCTGAAGTGCACGACGAGCTGCTCGACCGCATAACACGTCTGCCAACACCAACTGTCGAGTCCTGGCGAGATGCCCATTTGAAGATTTTTGCATAAGATAGAGATACAGTTCGAAGAGGGTCAAGGGACGGCTCCGGAGGATAGTGCCAGGCTGTAGTGCCGATGCGTAGTTGGACGTTTAGGGCGCAGGCCTAGGGCCCGTGATCTTTCACTGCAAGCTACCTGGATCCTTGGTACAACGGCAAGGTCTGTCGGAATGCATTGGAGGGCCTCCCACAGCCGGCTATGGCTGCAGAACAAGCCATCTTGCAGAGTTTGCGCTGCCGCTCAACTTCAAGAAGCTTGGGGAACTTGAAACCTTACGGAGCAACAAGCTAGAGCTAAAACGATGAAAGCATGAAGCGTCAACCCCCGTGGTCTGCTTTCACCTCTTACCCACATTCCGTTTCAGTTCCCCTCGGAGTTGCAGTTCGAGGCTTCGGATCGTAAAGATCAAGAGATGCAGTTATGTTAATTATAGTACAGCTGCCTTGCTCATACCTCTGCATTTCGGCACCCATGATCCTGCAAGCATACTTTTGAAGGACTCGCGATCTAGGGATTTGGGTTTGTGTTTTTGGTCTTTTGGGCTGAGCGTGCCAGCATGTGTCTTTATGGGTCGTGGATTCGGGCCAGAGGATCTAGATGGTGATGATAGGCCCCGGACGCGGTGTTGCCGGCAACCACATGGCTGTAGTGGTGGGCATACCTGGGGCGACGACCGCTCCCGAAATGCCCTGTCAGGACTAAGAAGGTCTTCGGGTTTGGGGTTTCCGCACGTAAAGATCCCCGTTCGCAGAGAAATGCTTGGAACGAAAACATGCGAACACACTGCTACTAACTGCTACTACTCATTCGGAGACTGCTTCAACCCCTCCTTATAGACAATCGACTGGGTGGACAGATGGCGCACACATGATACCATCATCAAACCAAAGATGTGTGCCAAACCCTGACTCTGGTAGAACGTAGTTATAGAGCTGATGTGCAGTGGTACTTGGCTCCAACTGTATGACGCAGTACTGTCAAGTCTCAACATGAAACCCGGAGCCCCAAATGTCAACCCTTCGGCACTTCAGTGTTGGTCGAGATCAAAGCAACTTTGCGGGACTCGGTGCCGCGAAGAAGCTGAACAAACTGGGCAAAGTAGCAGCCTTGCCCGTAGAACGCCCTCTCGGCACCTGCGTCTTGAATTCTTCTGCCGTGCGGATTGTCAACTAATCTTCGTGAGCTGCCCGAGTTCTGCTTAATGTTGTCTGCAAAGAACCCAAGTGCAATTCTGAGGGCTTTGCTTCGTCGCACCCATTGATCATAATCAGAAGAACACCGAAGGCCTTCAATTTCGCTAGCCTTATAGCATTACCCTAATAAGAACATGGGAGGTTTGGGCATACTATACTAGAAGTATGATCAGGAACCCTAAAGACTAATTACTCAGGTTTCTCTACTACCTGCTCATTGCCCAGGCCTTGTGGAAACCATAAGTCGGTTGCGCATGCGCTAGAAGCCAAGATCTCAAATACCGGCGTCTCTTCTCACTAGGCACAGTCTGTTAGCATAATATGCTCACTGACGCCCCTTCGAAGCCGCAAACCCTGCCCAACCAGATGGAGCTTGATGGCGATAGTCACAAAGCAGGCATCATAAGGACATACGGCTCAGTGCTCAAGGCCCTGATGAAAACTTACGGCTGGCAAAAAACGAACGCGTTCAGCATTGAGGGCCGAAATCGCAAACCTGAGCCAACAGAGCGTGTCATAGCGCCTTTTTCCGCCATGAAACCGTCACGATCTTGGACAATGACCTGACTGGCATTTCTGCCATGCTTGTGGAACCTAAGATGTTTGGGGCTGGGGGGAAAGGCAGGTTTGGCGTCAAGATGCGTCAAGCTTCGCGCACTTAGGCTCACCTGGCGTAGCACCCCGAAAAGAACCAACACGGACACGGACTCCCTTGTGCTGCATCTGACTTGGGAAGTTGGGCCTTGAGGAGAACCTCTTCCTTCTTCTCGGCAACTTCCACTATCAAGCAATTGCGAAGCCACGAGCATCTCGAATTTTCCAACAAGAGCGGAGCAAACCATGGAGCTGCCCGCAAGATTTGCACTTCTAAAAAAAATGAACCTCAGCAACCGCGATTTGTTCGAAGTTTGCTCCGCAACACATAGCCGCAACCTGGCAAATCCAAACTCTGTAAAAGGCATCTGAACCTATCATCCGACATGCTCAACCACGATCAAGGGCTCTAAGTCGTCTAAAGCCCTGTTTGCCAACAGCCTCCCAAACACTCCAGAACGGTCGTCAAAAAACCGTAATGCAATCAACCCTGCACAAAACCCCGTGCAAGTTGATACGTGAAGCCTGCAAGAACCGCAAGCTTTCAAAATCAACGGCTTTAACCGTAGCAGCCTAGGAGGGCGAACACTCGGTGCCTGGCCGTGGGATCACACGTCCGCGTCCCGTGTGCAAGGAGTCGCTCCTTGCCAGCACTCTGGAAGGGGCTTCTGTAGCTTATTGGTGATCCCCAAACCCCTTTAAACCGCTCCAGGTGCTCCTAAATCCTCGTACTGTACTACTGATGTATCACTACTGTACTACCACTGTCCGAGTGTACTACTATTGTCCTACTGTACTACTATTGTACAACTACTGTACTACGACAGCGACCTACTGTATTATTACTGTACTATTACTTTACTACTACTGTACTACCACTGTACCGTACCAGGCCTCAGGCGTGGTCGATTGTGGGAGGGGGGTGTGGGTTGGAGGCAAGAGTGTTCAAAATGAAGGGGTTTTTAGTGTTGGTAGTGTCGATTGTGGAGGGGAGTGTAGGTTGGAGGCAAAAGTCTGCAAAATGAAGGGATTTTAGTATTGGTAGTTATCTTACCGTGGCTTTGGTTTCCAGCTTTTGGCGATCCCCAAACCCCGCTAAACTGCTCCAGGTACTCCTAAACCCTCGTACTGTACTACGACTGTACTACTACTGCACTACTGTTGTACTACTGTACTACTGTCGTACTACTACTGTAAACCTGTACTATTGTTGTACTACTACTGTACCAGGCCTCAGACTTGGTCGATTGTGGAGGGGAGTTTAGGTTAGAGGCAAAAGTCTTCCAAATGAAAGCTCTCTAGCCTTGGTAGTTATCTTGGAGTGATCAGGGCTTGGTTTCCAGCTTTTGGTGATGCCCGAACCCTCCGACCGCGGCATTCGTGCAGAAGCACCCAAGCCAGCCCCCTAACTCCGGGATCGACCAATTGCCTTCTAACTTAATCAAAGCGCCAGCCGAACCCCGGTCCACGGGGTCACGGACACCAGACTATTCAAGCCAAAAATTTTGGTCAGGGGGGAGGGCCTTTTTGGCCTATTAAACAGGACCGCACATTGGTGGCATCAGCCGTCGTAGTCTTACGCCGTGCAACAGCCAAAGCCAAAACTTTCACGTAACCAAACCTATCCTGATGCAATATGGCGGCTTGTAACCGCTTCAAGCTCTCGGCAGATCAACACCGCATGCCGGAAAAGGACTGAATCGCCGCGTGGCCATTTTCCGTGCACGCAGTGCGATGCTTCACAATCATACTAGAAATTAGTTCATTCTCTTCCCTTCTTTTCCCCTCTTTGTTTCATTCCCTTCGTGCTTCACTCAAAATATAATGACTGAAAGGAAGCATGATTTTGAGCGAAGAACGAAGAGCGAATGAAGAGGGGAAAGAAGCAAAAAGAAGAGAATGAAACAACTAATTTATAGTAATAAACTTCTATAACTAAAAATCTGAGGAAATCTTATTGTGCTTTTTGTTCAATTAAAATTAAGGCGCGCATTTCACTCACTTCTTTCGCTCATTTGCCCTTTATTTTAATTAGAACAAAGCACAAGAGATTTCTACTGGAAAAATCCTCAATATGAATGATATGGATACTACCAGCATCGACCAGATCTCAACGGAGCTGGACCTAACGATCAAGAGTTACTTTGGACATCGCCATACTGAAACACTGGGCATGACCTCCGGACCGAACTGCCTGAACACAGGCGACAGCGAGCACGGCGAGAAGCACACGAAGAAACATTGCCACTGCGCCGACAACGAGAACTATCGCACATTCAAGCAGGCACCGCTTGAGAATCGGCAGTCAAGACCATGACACTTGGTTCAAACGTCTCTAAGCGAAGATGCAATACTGGAACCCTCAACACGAAAATCTGCATGTGCAAGCATGGAGACCATTTTGTTCATCTGTATGTCCATATGTGTATATTGTCTGCATGCGTGTATGTATATGTGTATATATTGTGTACATGTGTAGGCTTTATACATGTTAGTGTAATGCATATATGTAGGGATGCACGTAAGTATGTATGCATATATCTGCATGTACATGCAGGGGTGGAGGTAGATGTAGTACAGATAAAGTGATAAAGCTGTATGTATCAAGGCATGTACGTGTGTATATGCATGTGTACCTAATGTATTCGATGCATGCGATGTACTACAGTTCACCATTTAGACTGTATATATGTGCATGCAAGCAGACTTTCATTTTTGCAACTGCGTGAACGCCTAAACTAACCCCGCCGAAAACCCAAAATACCCACTCAACGCCCCATAAACCCTAGAAGTAAAATCCTTGCGACCGCGCTCCTGGAGCTCTCCAAGCAGCGCTGCCTCGCCTCCCTGCGCTTTGTTGGGCTCGGGAGCTCGGGTTTCATGTCCTCGGGGTCGGGAGCTTCCTTCGCAGGCTTTGTACAAGGCATTATCAAGCTATAACCTGGGTGTCAGGAGCCACTGGCCTAAGGGTGTAGGGTTTAAACTCGCGGAGCTTTGCGGGTGGGTTCATTGTTGCCGAATCCATTTGAGGAAGCATTGCTACATTCAGCGGGCTCAAAAAAGCCTACACTCCGTCTCAAACCAAAGACCGAAATCATAAACAGCGAAGCCCAATCCAAAGCCCAAGGTTCTAAAGCCCAAATACCTCACGAATTGAAGCTCTAAATCCTCAAGACTCCAGAAGCACCTTCCAGACCTCCTTCAGCTCCAAATCCGGTTTTCCCTCCTTTTGCAGGGACAGGGCTCGTAGCGTTTAGGAAGTGGAGTCCATGGGTTTTTGGTTTGGCTTGCTAAAATTTGGGGCTGCCGGTTTTGCTAGCTGCTAGAAATCTCGACTTTTGTGTGGCAGATAGAGAAGATAAATTGATAGTGCATGACGGATTGTCGGGAAGAAGCCCCAAGCCAAAAGCTAGGTAAATCCCACACACGTCAACTGAACGAGCTTCTTTATCCGGCCCAGAAAGTCCTATGCATGCACCTGTCATGTCAGGTTGTCTTTAGTGACTTTGGTGTCCACCCCTGCAGCATCGCCCGATTTTCACAGACTTCATTGCAACAGACATCGTGTCATCTGAATTCTGGTGACGGGCGGGGGGTTCAAGCCTCTCAACGGAGGGCCGGAGGAGCCTGTCAGAGTTCCGGTTTCGGCTTCCCAGTCGGTCGTTTAGCTGTTGTTTCCCATTCGACGAATCCATGCGAGACGAGAGTTGAAGCGGTACCCGCCTGACCGAACCTGATGTTGGCTTGCATGGCCCTTGTGTGCAGCACTTTTTGATCCTCCCACAAAGCTCCGGGCTGAAGAGGATCTCGGCCGTGAAGCCGTGCAACATACAGAGTTTCCCTTTCTCTGCGTGCATACATTGCAGGTCTATTGGGCAGAGCAAAGGCTCATGGCTGGTGTCCAACCCCTGGTCGGATGCCTTTTGTTTGGGAGATGAGATATCCGCGACACGACGGGTGAGACAGTGACCCCTGGGTAGAATCGACAAGCTCTACAGGGCCCCGGTAGACCCCACAGCACCAGTTTCTGAACAAACGCCCTGAAGTGTCGATAGCTATTATTCGGAATACTCTTGCCTGCGCCCGCGAAGCCAAGTTCAAACGTGTGAGGCTGAAGAGCCCGTCTTCAAATGCGTGGTTCCTTTTGCCACAGTGCTTTCCCGAAGGCTTTGTATGGGTCAGCTATTGTCAGGTGTGAGCGATGATCTAGGTGGCTCAGAGTGGTGCATACAACCTTAACTTGCGCGGCGAACCGCTGTGAGCCTATGGGCCCTAAATGCCATCAGGCTGGAATGGCACGCCGCCAAACAAGCGTACACCTATGCTCTACTACGGCAGAGCGTCTCAACATGTGTCCTAGCATGCTATGACCGACTCCTGTTTGCCATGATACAGTACAGCTTTGTAGACTACAGAAGATTCTGGGGAGTTATAAGCCCTAGGATTTCAGACCTATCGCGCATACGACGCAAACGTATACCCCAAAACTCCAAGTAAACAAATCATCTAAATCTACAAATGATGGCTGGGTATGTTTGGAGCCCCGGGGATCGACTGTCGTGTCGCCTTCTCCTCCTCCGGAGATCCCTCCGCGGCTCGACGCCGCAGCTCGCGCAACATTTGCTGGCGCTCGAAGTGATAGGCTTCCCGGAGGGGATAGTTCCTGAAAGCTTAAGGTTGGAGTGATGGCAGGCCATGGGGCTCAATGGGGACCAAGTGCTGGGATCTGAGACCTGTAGGGTCTTGAAGGGCATCCAGCACTGATGTAGTCCTGGGGGTTTTAGAATTAAGAGCTGTTCGGTGTTCCGAGTTCTCACACTCCCGTGCAGATTTGTACCCCCACCTACCTCTAGGTCCCTAGGTGCATGAGCATACGCACTTGGTTCACTTCTTCTTCAAACTCGACGCAAGCCTGAGAGGGCTGATCTCGTGTCAAGTGGGGCTAAGGCTAAGTAACGTTCACAGGCCCCCCCCCGGCTATAAGAAAGACTTGGAGCCCGGAAACTCAACAGCCCTTTTCCGCGAAGCCTTCGGATGCCAGGCAGGAGAAAACATGGGAAAACGAGATTCGAAGAGGAAAACTGAAGCGAATGAGTGATGAGGATTTTAAGGCCAGGCGATTCTCGAAGAAGGCTGGGGGTTAAAGGGGTTGGCGAAATGAAAAAACTGCTTCGGAGTCATAGGGATAAGGGCTTCATAGTGCTGTGAGTTTAGATTTAGCGCTCAAGTTTCTTCAGCTGCTACGCTACCTGCACTCCGAAGTGTGCAGGGCTGGCATTTTCGCTTTCGACGAAACTAAGGCAACTATGCTGAGATAATCACTAGGAATGCTCCAACATGGCTTCTGCTCTTGAGATTGGCTCGGGCTTCGGAGCTCTTACCAGCCCCTACTTGCACAGGTTGTTGTTCGAGTTCAGGCGAGGAGGCGAGTTGCGCTTACCACGCCAACCCTGAACCTACCTCTTCAGCCTGCACTCTAAAGCCGAAGCTCTCGAACACAAGAACACCCCCGAACTGGAAGGTTCGACAAAGGAATCCTAAGACTCGGCCCTGACCAGATCCTGCTGGTTGAACCCGAACGTCTGGTTTTTTTGGAGGGCTCCTGGGCTAAATCCTGAATCCTGGACAAAACCCATCTGCAACAGAGAGACTGCACCCGCTGAATGGCGACAACGGCCCACTCCTTTGAGAAAAGCTTCTCGCTTCAGGGACGGCTTTTGGCAGGGTCTCCATCGTCAAGAGATTTAGCAGTAAAACGTGTTAAGGGCCGAAGGGGTTCAGGCGCAGCGTCCAGCCTAGGTCAGTAGGGTTCACAGTGAGCTGGGAGAGACATCAGGTTAAGGGGTTAACGCGAGTTAGGGTGTCCGGACATCATAGCTGCCAACGGCCCTCCCATTGGATCTCAGATAGGATCAATCCCAGAAATAAGAACTGTCGAGTTTCAGACCACGCCACCCTGGCAGCCCACTTAGCAGCCCTTTCGCCCTCACAAGTAGCTCCGCAACTCCAAACCTAGCACTGCTTCCAGGGCACCTGTGCGTCTAGCCCACCTTCGCTGAAGAATGTTTCGTGCACCAATGTCGCCTGGACATGGAAGACAAACTGCGATCGTCGGAAACCACTGGCGAAGCTCAGTAAAGCTCAGTGGGAAAATGAGATATTACCTTCGGCACGGGCACTCTTCTCCGCGCTTGCGGTGTCAGTACGCAGTCTTACAACAAGGAAGGTACAAACTGACCTTTCAGCGTCGAGTGGAATGTCTTAAGCCCATGATGCCTAGGGTGCAACAGCTCCTCAACGAAGGATCCCTTTCGAGCTGACTGCTGCAGGGGCAAGACGCATCCGGCTTTCCTCGCACTATCTGCCCTTCAACCTCAGGTCTTCTGAAACCTAAATCCTGGTGGATCCTCGACCCTGGCCCGTCTGGCCCCACCCCCTCAAGCAATGCCCAGCCCCGGACTGTAGAGTGGCCGTATAAGATGTTTTGAAGGGGGTCGCTGCTCGGTCAGGGTTTACAAGTCTGTATGGTGTTGCAAGGGGCTTGAAAAAAATCTGGAATCCTAGAAAACACGGAGGCAGTTGCAAAGGGTCGTCCATAATTACATCTTGTGGTTGGCTTGCGGCCTCAAAAGGCTTTGACAAACTGAAAAGTGGGCAAACCGCCAAAGTCTGCTACTGGAAGTCTTGGCAGCTGCACAGGGTCTCAAGCCTCCAAATGCTCCGCAGGCACGTCCGCGAGCAACACCTCGTGAAGAGGGGCGTTTTGTCACTGTCCCACTGCTTGAACGATGAAAGGCACATGCCGCATCAAGAGGACTTCCACGGTTGGACTGCAATCTTCCTTGGGCTCAACCTTCAGGATATTCGGACTGACTTGACGTTCAGTCTTTGCTGCTTATCGGTATTGCCATTGCCAGTTTTTTGTGCTTCTTGTTGTTGCTGTTGTTGCTATTGCGGTTGCCGTTGCTGCCGTTGTGGCGGCTGTGAGTGTGGTTATTGTTGCTGCTGCTGTTGCTGCTTTTGCTTTTGCTGTTGTTGCAGCAGTTGTCGTTCTTCGTTTGTTCGGCATGTGTTCTGGGTATTTGTGTTTTTCATACATGAAGGGTTCAGGGACACTTCCCCGCGGCCTCGCTATCTTGGTGCAGCCACGTAGGCTCAGCGAGTCCGCGAGCCACCTCTCGAGCTTTCAGGTCTGTCGGGTTCGATCGCAGACCATGTGAACTTTTTGACTCTGATATAACACAGCTCGCATGTGACACCCGTCCTCGCGACTGAAGACTATCGGTGTAAGCTTTAGCAGTTTGAAAGCAATCCGGCAGTCTGGCACCTCGTCGAGAGTTTTCCGCCGGATGCGTCGGGTAGTTTCACCGGACTGAGCGACCTTCAGGTATGGATACGACATTGGGGCCTTGGATTCTGGAGCTTAGTGGAATGACACAGGTCCGAAACGAAACTCCAAGACAAAACCACTGTAGAGACTGTCTTGAACCCTGACTGCTACATTTCAACCTAGGAATTGTCCGAACAGCATTTGCCAAAACCGCTGTCCGGGAACCTCCTGCATCTGGGTCAAGTCTACTGTGACCTTGGCACCAGCTCCCGGCTTCCTCAAGATACGGTTTAAAGTAGATCTTTCGGCGGCTTTTAGGGGTTGAGGGCTTTAGGGTTTACCTACATGAGAGCCAAGCATATTGGACCCGAACTTCGACCGTGAGCCCGCACACAACGAACACCTTGACTTAGGGTGATTCTTGGCCTCGTAACATAAACGAAACCAAAGCAACCTCTTCGAACTACCAATCAATGATTACGGAACACACACACACACACAATCAGCGGACCAAAAGCAGTGTTGCAAGACTACTATGTGGACTTGCTCACCAATGGTGATGGCAATGTCTGTAGCAAGAAGAACACGATCAGTAATCACCCTTTTTGGTGCGCTTCCTTGGGGGGGTCCTTTTGGAGATCAGCTCTCAAAGCCCAGCGGCTGACGCGCTGAGCTCGACCATGTGGGCCGAAGCTTCCTGGAGCTTCGAGAACGCCTCGAAGGGGTGGTAGGGTTTTGGGGGGGGGTATACTGCACTGTTTTTATAACTATATAGTTATAGCAAGGAACCCCCAAAGTAGTATAGGTAATCATTGAGGCCCCTAGGTTATGGCAATTCTTGGCCCTGGTGCAGCACTGCTCCGCCACACGTTCTGCCGTGACACTCAGGGTGTTCAGGGTTCACCATGGTTGACTATGGCTTTTCTGTTTAGGGTTGGGCGGGGCATCTGTTGGAATCGGCTTCGGTCTAGGCAGAAAAGCATTTGAGGAATTTCGTCTTTCCAAGCAAGACCGGCTGAGGCTTTTCGGTTTACGGCTTCAAGCTCGTCTGCCAGATTTTGGGCTTACGAAGCCGCCGACAAAGCCTCACGCAAATTGGCGCTTAGGGCTTGAGACTTCCAGCACAGGTCTGTCAACATCAGAATTATGCAAGTTGTAAGTACTGAGTCTTGCTGGGGTGCATTGAAAGGGTTTTTTCAACGTCTTGTATTAGTGCGAAGGGCTACTTGGTCCATCTGTTCTCTTTACGGTGAACATTTCCACGCTTTGATCTGACCTGCCGTTGAAACACACACTTGCATCTGACAATCGTTTGGGGTTTGGAGACTTCGTTTCATCAAACTGTGTCAGGCAGGGGCCTAGGCAATCTTGAGCAAAAAAGCATGGTTGTCAGATAGGCCTTATTCCGCAGAGCCACATGAAGCAAATGAAGACCGCAGGAAGTTAAGGTCTGGGATGCTGTAAGTGAGAAAGGTTCACGAGATGGGTTTGGTGGTTCAGCTATTGGCGACTCAAGCCGGGAGCTTACGGCTTTCAGGCTTTCGGGGTTTGCGCACACAATCCTATATTTAATTGACATTTCATTCTGCGAGACCAAGGGATTTGCCGCATTGGACTTTGAGGCGCTTATCGGGCAAAGGGCATCTCTTGAACATGGCTCAGCCTTCTCCAGCTTCAGCGCGACCTTTGCGTCGTAGGGTACGTAGGTACCGTCATCACCCTGTCATGTGCAGGGAGCACACCTATTTCGACATCGTCTTGCTTCACCAAACCGCCGAATGTAGGTGACAATTGCATGCTTTCCATGACCAGTTGCTTCGACCTTCCACCTCCCAGAACCCTAGATCTTCAGCCCTTAAGCCGTAAACCCTAGAGCCGTATACATGCAGCAATCCTGAATCTCAAACCCTGAATGAAACCTGAACCCTAGATGTAACCTACACGACTAAAGCTAATTAAACCGTGAATCCTAATCCCTTCCAGACTTCCAGCCAGCCTGCCACTCCCACTTCGGCACGAACTGGGCGATGTGCTCGAAGGTCGGGTCTGGAACCTCCCGGTAACAGGGGTAAAGGTGGCTCGAGGACTCTGGGGCTTAAGGGAATCTAGGACTTTGGGGCTTGGTTTCTTCGGCTTCAGCGTGGTTTGGCGGGGTTCTGGAAATGTTCACGGTTTCTGGGGAGCTACGTCCAACTTTCAAGGTAAGTGTTCGTGCGGTCCTGGGTTCAAGGGGAGTCTGGAAGGGCCGAGACTTACTTATTGTTGTAGCTACTGAGTCTCCTGCACCGCCCAAAAAAAACCAATGCCCAAGCTCTGAAAACCTGAAAGCCTAGCTTAACTGACACCTCTTTCCCAAGATGTTGTTGTAGGGCTTGTACGATGGAGGCTTAGCCTCAGTTCCCAGGGTCGACATGTTGGATGTGCGCGCCTCCCTTCGTGCATCCTGGTTCAAGAAGCTTGTGACGCCGCCCATGGCACTCCCGTCCAGGAAGGCAGGTAGCACTCATGAGGGGTCTTTCGAACAGTGTTCGGGGGATATGCGAAACATTTCTGAGGCATCCGGCCCCCAAAATTGAGCATCCTATATGGAGTCGCAAACCACCCTCTAGTCCTGCGCCTAAGCAAACCCTGTTCACAAGATGGACATCCCCCAACGTTGGTCTGGTTTCCAGAGAGCTTGGGGCTCGAGCGATGTAGGTCTAGAGTCAAAGCCTCCAACACGACAACCATAACACTGAAGCTATGAACCATAACACTACAGCTATGGGCTTTGGACTGGCATGTTCCCAAACATTCCATGCCTATACCAGACCCTGCAAGCTCAGCCAATGGCTCAATTCTGGCCGGGGCCGACAAGGACTGCTGAGGTTATCCGACGTAGAGTCTGGGGTTAGGCCAGTCTATCAGTTCATGATTTCTATCTCGGGTTCATCGAAACCTGGGCAAGGATCCTGCTATATCCTGCTTAAGGAACCCTAAGGTGTACATCAGTACGAATTATTCAGGCTTCTGTATTACTCGCTCGAGGGAGAGCCTTGCCGACTTGATCCCGGGTCGCCTGAATTCAGAAAAACGAAGGCCCCGGTTTCGGTCGAGGAGGATCAAAGCCGACGAGGTAAATATGAATAGGGTCGATTCGTCGACTTTCCTGGTTTCAGAAGCGACCAACTATGACGTGTAGTTCAGAGCGTGGCATCCTTTGTACGGAAAGCCACACTTTCGCAGCTCTGAACCCTCTGGAAGAACTCCGTCAAAGGCGCCCTCATCGGTGAATTAGGGTTGCTTCGTAGATGAACTGACAGTCTTAAACGGACCAGGACTCCAGAATTCAAGAAGATGGGAGCCCGCGGAGAAGCAAGTTTATTTCTGTTTATCCCAGCACTCTATTTCGGAAGTTTGACCACCAACGGCGTCGATTACAAGCACGAAAACCAAACTTCCTGAACCTGCACCTGGACAGCCCTGAACGCTGAACTTAGCCTTGCATTGCGTTCCTCACCTGCTGCCAAGACACGGGAGATCCTCGCCGTCATCCTCGCCCTCTTCCGTTAAAGTGTGATGCAATGAGATGTCTTTGGGCTCAGGGTTCAGGGAGACTGGGTTAGAGTTTGTCGGTTTGGGGCGTCGGGATCCGGACTTAAGCGCATGATGCTTCAACTGCTTCGCCTCTCACAGGGATTACTACATTGCGAGGGTTGCAGCAATTGGAAGCTTACGCCGCTCGGGCTTGAGGGACTCACTGTTGCACGAAATAGTAAGTTTAGATGTTTGAACATTAACATCCAAGCTTTGCTGCTGGGGACTGTGCACGATACGACGCTTATATGGATCATGCAGGAACGCATTCGGATGTGCTAAGGTGAAGTGATGTAGACCCTGCTTCTAAACGCAGTCGTGAGTACTCCATGCCCGGAGAGCCCCAGATAAGAAGCGAGACCCTTCAGAAAATCAGTGGACTCTCTTCAGGTTTCGGCTTCTAGGTTGAAGATTCAGGCATCAACAACTTTCCAAGCATGAAGCATATGAACCTCACCTTTGAAACGTCCTACACCGCCAAACCCTTAAACCCCGAGTTTACGGACCTCTCGACCGCCACTGCTCTAGACAGCATTCTGGGGTCGAACCTCCTACTGCACGGAAACCAACCCCGATGAAGTCTATCCAGGCTCCGAATCTGGAAGCCCCAAAGCCGCCATCGAAGCTCAATACTGTGCCCCGAAGCCTTGAGCCTCAACCGCCTAGCCTCGACATCAACACATCCCTGAAACCCACCCTCCCCTGCGACTATAAAGAAACAATCTAAAACAAAACATGCCTGAAACTCCCCACCAGACCTTAAGACTAATCCACGAATCCCTGAAACCAGAAACTGGAACACACCCGCCCCCCCCTGCCTCACTCAGTCCGAGACCTTCAATTAGGTTTTACGCACCGGATGTGGGGAGCTGAGGGTTGATAGGGCTCTGGGGTTCTAGTGATTTTTTTGCAAATGTAGGTGCCCAATGTAAGGGCCTACCCGGGGTCCCTGTTCCTTCAAGGGTGTCACTATGAGGGCTCTAGAATCCAGAGGACCTATAACAAATAAACCAATCGTTTTGGGGTATATCGGACGATACGTACATTAAGGACGCCTAGGCAATTACATGCCGAGTTTTTCAGACCTCGAATTACATGTTAAACACATAAACACTGTATACGATATGCTTGGGCAGGTTCTGGGGTTTGGGGATGGGGGGTTTTAGGGCTTCGGGTTTGGTTTAGGTTATGGCGGGACGGGGTTTGGTGCTTTAGCGTTTACAGTATTCGCTGCTTTTCTGGTTTTATGGACTAGAAGAAGGATTGTTCAAAGTGTTATCGGGGCCAAAACGAGGCCCCTACCGAATAGCCTTCGTAAACTAGCGTGTTTGTAACGATGGTTCTACAAGGAGAATGAAGGGTATATAGTCAAGTATCTAGGCACAACAGATTCCGCAGTTGTCAGAGCAGAGCTAGGGCGTGGGGCCTTCGTTTGGGTTTAGGGTTCAGGCCGTGCGAGGGCTACACCGTTCAATCAAAGGACGTGGGCAAACACTTTGAAGATGTGGCAATAGCACAGAATCAATCACAGCATACTTTCGTAGATTGGTAGAGACTATTGCTTCCAAGAGCATCGGTCCTCAATTCTAGACTCCTAGACTCCCTAGATGTTGATTTCCCTGCCGGTATGGCCCCACCAGCGGCCAAACCAACGCGTTTTCAACTTCCAGACTCAAACACCTCGAACGTCCTGTTCTTGAACCCCTCCACCCTCCTGTTGCTAAACAGCAACCCTATAAGCCCTTAAACCCCCCTTCGGGGATCAGGCCTGTACTGCCTTGGCTTGAATGCGTCGGCGACTCCAAGGTCTTGGCCTTCAGGGACGACCAAGATACCATGGGATCAAAGCACACCGCACCGAAGCCGTGAGGTTCTTGCAGGATGCAGCCCAAACCCTGAACTTTGATAAATCTGCAATCACTGTTTAGGGTTTACGATTCTGGGATTAGCATAGTAGAGCAGTACAAAAGTCCCCAACCTAGACCCCGAAGACCTCCAATCTTAAATCGAACCGCAGCGGACCAGTCGCCCCAAGACGACCTAAAACGACAAATTCCCCGACGGTCTGGAACTTGCGGCTCATGATCAGCACTTTATGAGCCGAAAGTGCCAGGGCTTAGTTATGCGGGTTGGGGCTTGAACAGGCACGAATCCAAAAACGACATCGCTCGGAATTTAAACCCGCAGCAAGTGTTACGATACCCTCGAATCCCTCCTGAAAACGCGGTTGGGAAAGCTTGGTCTTCACGGCCTGTACTTTCGACAACCTGCAAGAACAACAAAGCCGGATTGGAAACTTCCTCGAGGAACATGGTGGTTAGAGAAAGATCCCAGAGCGTAGCACTTGAAACCCTAGAGATCTCATAATTTTAAAGCTCTACAGTCGTTTCCCATCACGCAAGAGCCACACATGTCCAGCTCTAAGCTCCACGCTCAGCGCAGCTTTTGGAACTCAGTAACCATCCAGTCCTACCCTGACTCAAAGTTCCCAGAAGAATGAATCCAAGAATCTACAAACGGCATGACCTAAGCGCAAGCCCCCATCGACACCCTGGGGCCCAAACGGCCGGCAGAACCAACGGTGGAGCCTCGGCGCTCTACTCTAACACTGCGTCTGAAGAAGCTTTCCTGCAGTGCTGGCGGACAATAAAGTTAAAGGGGTTGTGAGGTCTTCCAATTACTTTCTAAGGCCTTCTGAACAGCAGAGTTGCGTCGAAGGGCTGCCAGGGGTCGCGGTATGTGGGCATTATCGACGCTTGAGAGGCCTCAGAGCCTGGAATGCAAAGTGACGAGTGCAGTTAGCTTGAAAGCACCGTGGTTTTGAGCCCCGCCTGCTCTCCACGACTCGTCTGCTTCGCGGTCACTAGCTCTGAAACACCTGGTGTCACCCGAAACGATACTTGACCCAAATTACCGTACTTTCACCTTGGATCCCAGATCTCAAGCCCTCATATTCTAAACCCTTTTACTCCCCAGCTACAGGGAGGCTCGAAAGCTTTCTGTGGCCCAGGCCGTGCATCGTGCCTCCAACGGCCTTACAATCGGCGCTCGCGGGGGCGCCGGTCGCAGGAGGCTCACAGGCGCCTGAGGAGCTTCTGCGACTGGATTTGGGGCGCTTGGGGTTCAGGGAGTCTCTGGGTTTTGGGCCGTGGGGTGTTAGGACGCAGGGTTTGGTCGTGAGCTTCGGGCAAATCTTAGGAGTAGCCTACGGTCTGGGAGGTTGTAAGCTTTACAGTTTCGGGTGCTGGGTCGGACCTCGGGTTTGCCTCGAGTCAAGTTGGAAGATGTTGTGCGTAGTTCGACGAAGCGAACCGCCATGAAATAGAACTGGACAACGCACCCCCTAGCCCCAGACTCGAAACCATCGCCCAAACCCTTTGCAAAACAAATCCGGTGCACAGTCAACACCATGAACGATTTGCACTCACAGGCCGGACCGGACAGTAGGTCTGGAGCCCTCCTTAAACACGAACGAACCCATGTTCTTCCGCAGCCCTTGCATCGGAAACTTGAGGACCCGACATTAAGCATCCCCCCCTGTCAACCCTGAACACTCCCAAACTGTTTTTTAGCGATAGCAGCAGGGAGCTGCAAGAAAGCTGGACATGGGGAAAGTAGTGTGCCGGGATTTCCTGTGCTTCATCTTCAGGACATGGAGAGGGTTGTTCAAACTTTCTGAGGTTCGTTTCTAAGCTACCTGATGAGTTTTGGAATACACTAGTGATCATAGACCACAGTGTGCTCGACTCCATAGCATAACCACACAATGTAACAGAGTCGAATAGAGCATAATCAGAAGTAAGCCCCAAGCCACAGCTCCAGGCCATGAGGCGTGTCGGCTCCAAGTATCCTCCTCAGTGTTCAGGGCGAAGGCACATGCTCTGCTTTTTGTTTCGAGACTTAGGGCGATTTGTCGGCTCATGCCTTTAGGGCTTCGGGTTGAGCAGACTGCTGACATCAGCTTGGGGCTTTGGCTTCGATTGCTGAGCGTGGGGTTTTCGGGAATTGAGTCTGAGTCTCAGGCGGCAAACCCTGCAACAAGCGAATATCCAGAGAAGCATGCCCCCGGATGCTACAGAGCAACTTGTCAAGACCTAGGCCATCTGCAAAAAATGAGTTGCGGAACCCTTACCGCTTGCCGGTGCCCGAAAGCCCTGAACAACCTAAACCCTGAAATTCCCCAAACAGAAGCCTACAATCCGAAGCAAAGAGTCCCCAAACCCTCCAAGGACCCAGGCGACACCGGACCAGGAGGTGGTTGAAAGCTCAGCAGCTTCCCAGCCTGCTCAGGGCTCACACTCGCAAGTGCACAAATCACACATAGGTAGTTCGAACGTATATGCATGCATGTATGTATGTATATATATATATATATATACACATACAGAATATGTTTTTGTGACGCACGTCGTTCTTGGGAATATTACTACTACTGTTTACTTCCTTGGCACATTGAATGCCTTTGTGAATGGTCTGAAAGAAAACCCGTTGCAGGGTCGAAGTTAGGCTTTAGGACTAGGATTGACGGGTTGAGGGTTTAAGGGTTCCGCGTCCAGGGTTTAGTCATAGGCGTTTGGGGTTCGAGTTTCTGGTGGTGGAGGTTAAAGATTGAATTTAAAATCTGGAGTGTTTAGAGGCTCCGCCAAGCCGCCAAGGTTTAGGACATGCAGTTTCAGTGTCGGGTGTAAGGTTCAGGCCTTCGCAGTCTCTGTAGGTTGAGACGGCTCAGGGCGCGCATTCGAGACTTCAGAGCAATGCTTTGCGGGCTTTGTGCGCTGGAGTGTCGTTGTCGAGGTGGTTGTCGTCGTGGTAGCAGTAGTGGTTGTAGCTTTACGGAATTTGTAGAAGAATGCATCAGGCTTTCGGAGCTGTATGTCGCTATGGGTCTTCGATAGCCGCTTTTTGTAGTCCCCCCAGAAGCAGCAGCAGCAGTACGAGTAGTAGTCGTCGTAGTAGTCGTAGTAGCAGTAGGAGTAGTAGTAGCAGTAGTAGTAGTAGCAGTAGCATTTGCAGTAGCAGTAGCAGTAGCAGTAGTACTAGTACAAGTCGTAGTCGTAGTCGTAGTAGTAGTAGTAGTAGCAGTAGTAGTTGTAGTGGGAGTAAATAGTGAGTGGTAATTAGTAGTAGCAGTAGTAGTGATAGTGGTAATGGTGGTAGTGGTAGCGGTAGGAGTAGTGGTAGCAGTAGTAGACCCGCATGTGCCGGGATCCCGACTTTGCATCCTTCAGCAGCTGTACACGCTTTCGGCGTGATCCTGGGCTCAAGTGACTTCAATGCCTGCAGCTCTTGGTACGGCTGCAGGGCTTTCTGAAACCGTTCAGATTTGCAGTGCAGCTTTGGTTCAGCACATGTCCTATTTATGGGTCAGAGGCCTTGGTCCCGATCTACGTGACAGAGAGGTATCAAAGCAACGTCCAACGACTCGAAGTCCAGCCAATACTTAAGGAGCAAAATTTAAGGTGCTGATGCAGAAGCTGAAATCACTGCATGTCTGAGGACGCCTGATACTTAGAACGCTGCAGCTTCCTCCCAACTCTCGGCGAGGTGCCTAGGGGCTGTGAGCGTCGGTAGCACGGTGTCAGTGCTATCTCCCCCCCGAGCCAAAACGGAAATGGCAAAATTCAACGTGGATGTGCAGACCTTTCAGAAACGACTAAAACCTAAGTGCTTGAGCGAACGATGCGGAGTCCTGAACCTTCAGGGCCAGCCATGTCAAGCAACATATCAAACGAAGATCCCATTAGGTCCCTGTAACTCTCAGGCAATGCCAATATCTTGGAACCACCGGAATTCACCCTAAAGCTGAAACCATGAAACAGGAGCTGTAGAAGCTGAATGCCGAGGGCAGTGAGCCCTGAGAAGGAAGCTTCAACTCTTTCTTCAATCGTCGTTAATACCTCATTAGTAACAGCGCTTGCGAGTCCATAGAATAGCCCGGCAGTCATGTGGACACAATAGCAACAGCAACAGCCAACCAAGCATATGCAGCACAGAAGCAGTCACAGTACTCACCTCACGAGATTAGTAATGATGGTAAACATCGATGAACAAACATCAGCTGAGCCAAATGGTATTGCGAGTAGTGATACTCGAGTCAAGTAAGAGCAACAGTGCGATGATGACAGCACCCCAGCCACAGTCAACGACCCTCCATAGCCGAGGCATTGGGGTGTAGGATTAGAAAAAGCCTGCTTCCCTGTAGCACAGGAACATAATCTCCCTCCTTGAGCATGCAGAGGACTACGTTGTTAGGAGCTTTTTATATCCACAGTGCTCAGCCCCGGAAGGTCGTGGCTTCAGAAGTTGACAGTCAGGATTCGAGATTCAGGTCTCGCGATTTGTGATCTTTGCCTCAGGGTTTAGGAAAGGAGTTGAGGGCCTCAGGCTTGGGGTGGTTCCAGGTGATAAGTTCATTCAGAAAGCACATGTTGTTTTGCTACGAGGTACCAAGGTGCAGAAAACGTTGGTAGATGTCCAAGCCTGACGAGTTCGTCCTGCAGCGTTGCATCCCTGCTGCTAACTTGCATACCCTGAAGCCAGACTCCAAACCTGAGGTATACTCCGGGGTGCAGGACACTACTTGGCACCCGAGGCACCAACTGATTGTTGACTGGACGTCTCAAGGAGTGAAACCGTCCAGGCTTTGCTGAAGCGAGATCTTGACACAGCCTTCGTCTTCACAGAGCAACAAGCATTTTGATGGACGAAGCTCTGGCTGACTGCAAACCTTGTGATGAAGTCGCTAGGGAAGAGGGTGTCGAGGCAAGTGACGGAGAAAGAAAATGCAGCAGGAAGTCCAATCTCCCCTCGGCATGCTGCACAACTTCGATCTTGCCTGTGACAAGGACTGGGACGGAGTTGTCGCAGTCATCCAGCAATACTTCGAGGTTCTGAAAGTTAAGAGCCTTGTTGTTCACTGCAAGTTTCCGGTCGGCACGCACCTGTACCCAAGCCTTCTGAAGGAAGTCAAGCTCCACTGGCCCAAATATGTCTTTCAACGGCTTCCCAGCAAGGGTGCAAGCGCTAGTAGAGGCTGACGTCGCTTGCAATCGGTCCATGTCCTGTGCTCTTAGCGCAGTAGTAGTTGCAGTAGTGGCAATTGTAGCAGCAGCGGCAGCAGCAGCAGCAGCAGCAGGTGTAGTAGTAGTAGTAGTAGTAGCAGTAGTAGCAGTAGTAGTAGTAGTAGCAGTAGTAGTAGTGCAGCAGTAGTAGTAGTAGTAGTAGTAGTAGTAGTAGTAGTAGTAGTAGTAGTAGTAGTAGTAGTAGTAGTAGTAGTAGTAGTAGTAGTAGTAACAATTCAATGAACAATCGCAGCAGCAGCAGCAGCGGAAGCAGCAGCAGCAGCAGCAGCAGCAGCAGCAGCAGCAGTAGCTGCAGCAGCAGCAGCAGCTGCGACAGCAGAGCCAGCAGCAGCTGGAGCTGTGGCCGCAACCGTAGCAGCAGCTTCGCCATCACCATCACAGGTGCTATGTGGATGGTAACCGTCAGTACCGTGATGCTCGAGATGTGGCATTGCCATCGCTGTCGTCAACTTCTTCACTATCATCAGATAGCATGATTGAGTCGTAAACTCATGGGCATCATCATCGTCATCATCACCGTCATCATGGTTCGGAGCCACATCAGGAAGCATACCAATAGGGCAAAGACATCCGCATCTCAACCTCATCCTATGCAGGCAAGATGCAATGTACAGGAAGGTACTCTGTGGACCCTTTTGCTCGAAATCATCCACACCGCCGGCGCTGGAATCCATACTGGAATCTAGGGGTCGCGTCTGCTGTGGATCTACCTCGGGCGTGCCCATATCGTGCATGCCTGTTTCCAACAGTCCTCGGTATGAAAGTGTAATCAGGAATAGACCGCAGCAGCAATTTCAATTGGTAACACTCCTTCCAAATCGTCTATGTCATTTTGTCGAGATAGATACACCGCGAAGGGGAACTGCTGCTGAGCTTTAGTTGCTTACCGGGATTTAATGAATTGATTGGGTTTGGGGCTATGGTAGAAGCCCCATAAAAACCCTACGGTAAAACAGATCGAGCTTGGACAAACAGAGGATTTGTGAAGCCATCTTAATCCGAAGATCTAATTGGCTTAGGGAACATTAGGCAGTTTCAGAGTCTCTATATACATGCTAGAGTTCGTCCAGACAAACCCCATGGATTTCGGAGCTTCGTGTTCAAAGCTGTGGGCAACCTGGCGGTTCAGATATGTTTTGGGGGGCGGTAGCACTGGGCCGCTAAGTTTGGAATGTATAGGGATTGAACTTCAGGGTAGGTGGTTGGGGTCGCGGTCTGCGTGGAAACCCGAGGTTGCTGTTGCCGCCTTCCTCATACGTTCATAAGCATCATGATGAACTCATATAACAACACATTGACAGCCAGCACTGGTGCTTGGGTGGTGATTCATCTTAGCAGTACTGTCGTGCTAGTTCTGCGTGCTTGGGATTGCTTGGGTCTTGAAGTTTACAAGGCTTGACGGGCTTGAGTCGGGCTGCCCGAGTATCGCTTTTCCAAGCGCGCTACTATAAGTAAAAGCTACGGACTCTTGACGTGTTGAGGAAGTGAAGGAAGCTTGTCGACACTATGGCTTCGCTGGAGCTTGCTAGAGTCCCAGACAGTCGGGGCAGTACGGTTGTCAGCAGGTATTGTTACTATACCGGAATAACACAGAATGACACAGAATCTTTGCGGCAAACGGGGCTAAAGCTACAACCATACATGGAGGGGACATCCCGCAGACTTGGGACTGGGGTATGGGAAGTTTGTACACTTCAAATCCGGCACATCCGCAACTACAGGGGGACTCTGTTCGAACAAAAAAGAAGGGCTTCCGTTGCTTCTACAGGCTCCTGGCACCTTGAACTTACAGGCTTGAGTTGTTAAACAAAGCCAGGAGGCCTTGACCCGCATCGGCTGAGCTGTCCATAGCTTTCCGGCCCGCCAATGAGCCCTGATCCGTGAAGTCTCGCAGTCCGAGCAGGTGGCACACCTCACAAGGGCAACGGCTAAATTGCTAAAACCGGAAACCTGAACCGCCCTGATCCGAGCCTCGAACTCAAGGAGTTTTCCTTCGTACCCTTATGTAGGGTTTGTACCCTTGAGTTTGGGTCCCTAAACCATGGCATATGGCCCTCAATACGGGCATTCGAGACCCAAATCTAGGGTTACAAACGTTTCGGGTGCAAACTTAATGTCTTTGACGAACTGCGTGACGTGGTCCCTAAACCCAGTGCTTCCCTAGAGCCTGTTCCAGGCGTTGCTACGTGTAGGTTTGGGATCTGAAGTCATCTTTCTCTCCACCGAAGTTGTCAAGCATTATTCGCAATTGAGCTCCTTATCCTGAACGCTTGAGGACACGGTCAGAAGGTACGCAAAGGCCCCAAGGTCAGACAGACCTGGCACCCTTGTAAACTGGAGACCAGAAGATCAAGGTCCTCCGCCTTCCGGCCTTCAAACGTCTGAATGACCCAACCAGGAGTAAGGGAAGGGTCTCGGGTTCAGGGTCTGGTTTTTGAAAGGGCTTATGTAGAGTCTCGGGTTGGTTGGGGTCAAGAATCGAGACATACCTGTGTGGCCCAGCTTGAACTTCGCAGAAACCATACGGAAACCACTGAGAAAGCGCATGCTATATCTATCCATCGATCGATCCATGTACCTAGATATTTATTTATCTATATCTGTCGATCTACCTACCTATATACATATACATATACATATACATATACATATCCATATACATATCCATATCCATATCCATATCCATATCCATATCCATATCCATATAAATATACATATACATACATATACATATACGTGTACCTGTGCGTATACATATACATATACATATACATATGAATATACATATACATTTACATATACATTTACATATACATATACATACGCACATATTCCCGCGCGTGTATGTACTTATGTTTGTATGTATGTGTGTAGATATGTGTACATATATTCACAGAGACTCTTCCTATATAGATATATGATATGTATGTGTACATGTACATATCTATATACATATGTAGACGTAGGTGTATATGCATATATGTTTGCATGCTTGTTTGTATGCTTATACATCAGCAGGATGACAGTTGTTGTCGCACTAAGATGTCTTGCAACTGCCTTTTACATGGCGCAGCCAGCGGAGGAATTTCTTAGCTGCAAAAAACAGGTATTACATGTTTGTTCAAACGGAGGAATTACTGACTTCCGGGCCTCAACTTGAGACTTCGTTCGTGAAGGAGTCTAAAGGTAAAAGGGGTTTACAAGTATATGTTAACAGAACTGGCCGTTACGACGAAATTTCGTCCTGGCCCAGTATGCATGTATGCATGCATGTATGCATGGATGCGTGTATGTATTTGTGTATATATAACATGTACGTATGTATGTATGAACGTACGTACATAGGTATGTATGTATTGTGTGGAATCAGAAGCTGCTGAAACTCTGGACACAGTTCAACGTCAGTTAACACTCGCTCTTTTGTTGCAAGTTCGGCTGGAAACATGCCATTTCTGGAGATTCGAGCTCTAGGAGGAATCGCCTGTCTCGTCTTCTACAAACCCACCTGCTGGTTCGGACGGAGGTATTTGACGTGGAAGACTTCCGTCCGGAACTTGCTGAAGCAACTGTCGATCAGGCGCGTGTGGAAGGCCGTGGCGGAGATGTCCGAGCCGCCAGTTCCCTGCAGGAGGTTCTCGGTCCGCTCAGCCTTGCCAAAATAGTCCAAGCATCGCGTGTATCAATATGCAGTAAGTTAGTTGCTCAGCATGTACATGTACCTATACAGAACCCTGTCGACGCAAGCTGACATACATTTAATAATATACATGTCTAGCTGAACTACAAAAACAAATATGAACATATGGTTATGTATTTAATGTATGATATTTTGTATATGTATGTACACGCACGCGCACACACACACACACACAAACACACACCCACACACACACACACACACACAATCACACAATCACACACACACACACACACACCCGCCCACACCCACACCCACACCCACACCCACACCCACACCCACACCCACACCCACACCCACACGCACACGCACACGCACACGCACACGCACACGCACACGCACACGCACACGCACAAGCACACGCACCCGCACCCGCACCCGCACCCGCACCCGCACCCGCACCCGCACCCGCACCCGCACGCACACGCGCACGCACACGCCCACGCCCACGCCCACGCCCACGCCCACGCCCACGCCCACGCCCACGCCCACGCGCACGCGCACGCGCACGCGCACGCGCACGCACGCGCCCTGCGCACGCGCAAGCGCACACACACACACACACACACACACCCACACCCACACCCACACCCACACCCACACCCACACCCCCACACACACACCCACACACCCACACACCCACACACCCACACACCCACACACCCACACACCCACACACCCACACACCCACACACACACCCACACACCCACACACACACACAGACACACACACACACACACACAGACGCGCGTTCGCACCCCCCTACACACCTACACACCTACACACCTACACACCTACACACCTACACACCTACACACCGACACACCTACACACCTACACACCTAATTACACACATACACACCTACACATACACACACACACACACAACACACACACACACACGCACGCATTGTATGCCGGCTTTGTCGCATAATGTCGCAGACTTCAACCCAACAGCCTGTAGCAGCAACCGTATCCACGGACTGAAGTCACCACGGACAGAATGCACGAGGCAGTTCGAGAGAAGCTGAGCAAGGTAGGCGAAGGAAGGTTCGAGCTCGGGCCTGGGGGTAGGACCTATGCACGAAGGCAGGGTAGGGCCTGATGCAAGGAAGCGCGATGGCGACTCAAGAAGGAAACTCCGCAAACCACGTGACTGAGTGTGAAACGGAACAGCAACACAATTTTGAAACCGGCGAACCTCTTCGCTAGTCGGCATCAAGTCGGTGAAGCGCTTCCCACAAAGCGAAGCTGCCTGGGTATTCTTCAGGAGCATTGCTTCGAGATCTGGCGCTGGAGCTGCAAAGCGAAGCTTGTCATCCAGTTCAACGACCGCATCACAGGTCAGCTGAAGGAGTGATGAGGCTGCTCTGAGCTCCGTGGCGGCTTGGCTCGTGAGCAAGCGCTGCTTCTCCTGTGTCTGGAGATGTCTGTCCAGCACGATGGCCGCCAAATTCACAAGGAAAAAGAAAACCACCTCCGACAGAATCATGTTGAACCTGCCCACCCGACGGGGGCAGCCGTCTGCCCTGAAGTTCTCGGGACTGTGGTATACCAGAGTCCGCGGTATGACCATGACAAGAGGGAAGGTTTTGCATGCGAGCACCAGCCAAGGCTTTGTGCAAACTAGGACAGCCGGCAGTCGGAATGTCATAGTCGACAGAGCACCGAAAAAGTAGTTTGGGTACACTGTTCCGAAAATGGGTACCGCTCCAGCACATTGCAAAGCCATGCCCGCCACATACCACCAGTTCAGAATACCGGAGCTAAACAATCGTGGATACATGTATCCAATCCCAAAAAACGCCAAACTGACAGTGCTCAGCCATGCCAGCTCTAGCGACAGGAACAATGCATTCTGCGTCAAGGCGGTGTACTGAAAAATCAAACAGACTATGAAGTAGCCAAACACGAGGAAGGTATTGAAGCTTTTTGTTGCCGCCAGGCGCCTTTGCCTGGCCCTGCTCTCAATTAACCTCCGCACTTCAGGCTTCATGTCTCCTAGATCTGTCTTCCAGATGCAGCAACCACATCTTCGAGCAACTTCCCAAATTTTTCTCCGACGCCGCAATGTCACAAATAAGAGCTTGCCGACACAGATCAGCTGGAGCGCTGCAGAAACGTAGAACCAGCTTTCTTTGTACCAACCATGGCGGTCCTGCTGCATCGCCTCAAACTATGTTGCAATCTCGTGGTGTCACTCGGATAGGGCATCCATTTATTGTAAGTAGAACGACAGATACATAAACGAACACATGTTTGTCAGTACGGGTGCGTGTCTGTATGTCTCTCTGTCTGCATTTTCCTCTGTAACGCTTTATGTCTCGATTTGTCTCTCTTTCTCTCTCTCTCTGTCTCTGCCTGTCTCTCTGTCTCTCTGGCTGGACGACTTCTTTACTGAGATTTCGAAAGGCACTGGAATGCATTGATTCAGTTGCACAGGCTTGGAGATGTTTGGATCAGGAGGTTCACTTTCAGGCTTCCCGGACGCACGGATCTGACGGTAAAGTTGCTCCGCTACTCCTCTCAAAACTGGGTTCATCAGGTGGGCACGAACTCGAAGGGCAGTGCTACCTTATAATAATGATCAGGAAAACAGCTGTTTAAATGAATGCCAAAGCCTGAACATGTACGCAGTAAGCGGCGATCGTGGTGTAGCCGGACAAACTCAACAGCCAACACCCTCTAGCAGGGTTTAGGCTCACGGGTAGCAGCCGACCTCCAAACTCAAATGCCATAAGCAACCTCGAGACAATCGATCAAACCGTTCTTATGTGTATGGGTGTATGGATGTTGTAACCCTACCGACCCCTATACAGGCCAGAATTCAGATCGAGCCCCTTTGAAGCCGTGCTTCTGCTTGTGCATGGAGGCACGGGGTAATGCAGAGATTAGTCCGAAACTTCGAAAACCAGGCGCCAAAAACCCAATTGATCACGACACTGTGTGGAGGCTGGGCCTGGGCAGTGGTTGGGATTCTGCGTGCGACGGGGCTTACTGCTGCTTAGGGTCTGAGGTGGACCCCATGACCCCCAAATCCTGAACCTGCCCTTCCCCGGCGGGCCAGCTTTTCCTTCGGGCTTCGTAGCTCGAAGGCAAGAGGATCCAACACAGGACATTTCAGGAGGCCTGCCGCAGGTGCTGTGCGAAACTCTCAACAACCTGAGCCTGAAATCTTCCTGTCTGAGCAGCCATTGGTGTGACATCTGCCGTTCCCTCAGGCCCCGGACAGACCTATTCATCGACATTACGAGGACCGAGGACCAGCAAACAGCCGAAGCAGACCCAATGCTTGCCCCTCATGTGCCTTATAATTTCTGATCTCTGCTCCCTCCAACAAACTAAAGTCCACATTTGAGCGCTGGGTTGCGTTGGCCATGCAGTGCAGTGTCCTGTGTCAAAAGCTCTCGACTGTGGTGAAACGGATGAAACTGTCCGATTTGGAGTTTAGGTTTGGGTAAAGGGCTCAGCGGCTTTAGGGTGGAGAAGACTACTATGCTACATGTACTGACTAGATTTGACAAATCAGTACTAAGCATTTATAAGGCTTCTTATGCGTTTCAGGCTTTAGAATCTCCTTAGTCCTTAGTCGGCTCACTCCTCCCGACTGCGATCCGCGTTTGCCTGCTTTCATGCTCCGGAGGTGGGGTCGAGTATACGGCACCTACGAGAGAACTCAGAGGGCAGGGATTTGGAGAAAGGAGTGTCGAGTCGAAGCTGTGCGACTTTCGGTGGTGGACCAGCTCTGGAAAGAGAGCCATGTACATCCCAAGAAGGTTAGGATAAGCATTGACTGGGCTCATCCGGGTCTACTTGAAGTCGCCCTTGAAGTCAGCACACAAACTGCACAAAGAGGCGCGGAGTTCTAAAGCCCGAAGCCCTAGCGCTTACGCGGTTCTACAAGCTCTTGTGAGGCCGAAGGCTCGATGCTGGAAGTGGGAGACTTCTACGAGTGAAGCGAGCTGGACCAGACCAGGATGTCAACATGAACGAATGTGAGACATAAAGGTCTAGGCGCTCGGTTCTAGAGTTCAGCATTGCGGGTGTAAGGTAGAGGTCTTAAAGATTTAGATCCGGCAAGTTAGGATAGCACCTATGCAGGCGCTAGGGTTCGGAAGGCCTCTGCTAGGGTTCGGAAGGCCTCTTATAAGGTGCGTGAAGGCTTGCACAACTTCCCGAACAAATCCTCAATGCTGAGAGTCTCACAAGCAAACAAATGGACTTGGAGCTACTACAGCTACACTTGTTCCAGCTTCCACCCCTCTTGTGTAATTACCCATAACCTCAGATTCGAGGCATAGGGCCTACATCCCCAAACGCTGAAGCCGAAACCTAGGCCCACCTTGCAGATAGGGCAGTCTGTGCATCGCATCAACCATAGGTCGATGCAGTGCTGATGAAAAACCTTAGAATGCTTCGAGGTTGACGGCTTCAGTTCTGCGTAGATTCTTGGATTTCCAGATTTTGGGGTCTAAGGTCTTTCCTGTGTGGTTCATGAAACCAGCCTAAATTCTGCAATAGAACCTCAGAACTGGTCGCTACGAATACTTCAGCCAAACAGAGTTCAAGCTGGTTCGTCTGGCAAACAGCATGTAAAGATTGCAATTGCAAATCCGGTTGGGTTGAGGTATTTCAGAAGCACCTATGTCTCCCTCGCTCTCTCTGTGTCTCGTCTGTCTATGCGCGTGTTTGTGCGTGCTGGCTGCTTCGAACACACTCGGTAATATGATTGTTGCTACTGTTAGTGCTACTATTTATCCGTTTAATACTCTTAGTGTTGCTACTATTGCTACTACTAATACAGTCATTACTGTTATTAAGGGGATCCTCAGGCACCCTTGGCCCATTTTTAGCGGTACAAAGGAAAAGACATCAGTGCGGTTCAGGGTTTAGGGCAAGTTCAGGGTTCAGGATTTGTTGGCCTAGGGTTTGGGGCACTTCTGAGGTTGCATCTCTCTTGATTCCGCAATGATGTGGCTCACTGCCGAGTCGGCAGAGGCTGTCAAACGTTGGGCAAAGATCAACAACGACACGACTGTGGTACATCAGCCTGCCTATGCCGCATCCATGCAGATGGTCGGCAAGAAATTGCAGTTAGACCGCTCCCCAGAGGAGACGGTTCTGTCTGCTTGCTGTTACAAAACCTAATTAAGACAGCCTTTCTTAACCTCATCTTGTACATAGCCATCACCTCACATGAGGAGCGCTACTGATGCAACCTGTTTTCGGATCTGTCGCAGTCACGAGCATCCCCTGGACGGCACGGCGCCGGCTTCCGACAGCAAGCTTGCAATCTCGATATGGCCGTTTTGATTTGCAAGGTCAAGGGCTGTACATCCTTCGTTGTCGTCCAAGTTGATGTCAGCAGCAGCCTGCAACAGCAATCGCACAATCTCGGCCTGGCCCTCTTGCGATGCTCTCATCATGGCCGTACTGCCATCCAAATGACTGCGCCCATCCTTGTCAGCACCAGCCTCCAACAGCAACTGCAGAATCTGAGGGTGGCCGTGGTCTGTGAAGCAAAACGCTTGATCCAGAGCCAGAGGGACGGGGTCGCTTTCCAACAGCAGCCGCACCTTATCAACGCTCTTGGACATCACGGCCCAAGACAGGGCGAAATTATCAGGATAGCCATTACTGTCAGCCGTATCGACAGCACCAGCCCGCAGCAGCAAACTTACAATACCTGCGTGCCCTTCCTTAGCCGCTAAATACAGGCTCGACTCGCCGAACTGGCTCGTCAGGTTCGGGTCTGCACCAGCTTGCAGGAGCGACTGCGCGATGTCAGCACGACCAGTCTCGGACGCTAGGCCAAGGGCTGTGCCGTCCTCATCATATAAGTCCACGTCGGTGCGAGCTTGCAACAGCAATTCCACGACCAACGCCTGGCCAGACTTGCATGCTTGACAGAGAGCTGTATGGCCAATTGAGCACCGGTAATATGTTTCATTAGTGGGCCAGCCTTCGCAAGCAAGCAAGTTGATACTAGCGCCAGCTTGCAGTAGCAAGTTCAAGACCTCTACATGACCAAATCTACATGCTTGAGTAAGTGCTGTAAACTGTCGCTCTCCGGGCGGAGCGAAGTCCTTGTCAACGCCAGCTTCCAACAGGCGACCTACTGCTTCGACTTCACCTTCGGCAGCACATGAAATGAGCTCTTTGCTGCTTCACTCGACTCGGGGCAGGTAGAGATCACCAGTTGCACGTCGATGGGCGGGTTCAGCATGGAGTGGTCATCCAAGCTGCTGCTGCCATGTACGATTTGCTGTTGGCACACTGGGAAGCCATACAGTCTACGCAAATGGTGCTTCAAGGCCATAACATTAGCCAACCGGCCGGGCCCGTTCGCGAACCCGTCCATGGTCATATTTGCCAGTTCTTGACCAGAAGCGCTCCAAACACGCAACATGGCAAACGGCCGTGGTGCTTACAGCGGTATGCATCACGGCATCTAGGATATCTCATCTGTGGCCTAACTACTTAAAATCAATGTTCATCCAACCACACCGACATCTACCTTGCAGAACTCTTGAGAATGTAATGCTTTGAGCTCATGCCGGCCTCTTGGTGTACTCCCCCCCAAAAAAAACAAAACAGAAATCTCCGTCAGCCCCTCAGCTCGACATCCTCATAAAACTCAAAACCTCAAAGCCTCCACCCCTTAAAACAAGCCTGGAATGAAAGCTCCAAGCCCTACTTGCACCACCTGACCTCAGAGCCCCAGTCCCTACCTACACCTTCAAGATGCACCAACGCACGTGCCAAAACCTCAACATCCCCACCTCTCATGCACAACTCTCGACAGTGAAACGCATATCCTGTAACCCACAAGTTTAAACAAACTCATTGTCGGCAGTGCTTTCGCGTGGGTGTTCTTACACTGGTGACCATCGGCCGCATAAATGAGTTCGTACAAATCTGCCTCCCATCTTCATTTGGGCACATGACCTTCAAGCGTTTACGTCCAGGTTCATTCGCTGGCTATCGTTAAGCAGAACCTTGATGCAGGCTGCATCAGGTCTTATTCAGGATCCGCCCAGGTTGAGAGCAGCTGCCGCACAGACGGCTCGAAACGCTAATTAGTGTGAGCCCTGTTGCGGACCATCCCATATCTGGGTTCCGATGAGTTGCTTTTTCAAGGTTTTGTACAGAAGCCTTCTGCAGCTC